GTTGGAACATAGATGTCAGTCATGTCCAACTTGCATATACAACCATCAAATGCTGGTCTATGTAGGCCTTTGGTCAATACATCTGCAGCCTGTAGCTTTGTAGGGAGGTATATAAGATATACTACACCTTCTTCCACCTTTTCCCTTATGAAATGCTTGTCTATCTTCACGTGCTTGGATCTTTCATGCTGGACAGGATTCAAAGCCATACTTATTGCAACCTTGTTGTCACAATAAAGTTTTAATGGTGGATCAACCTTGACATGTATCTCCTCCATTATGCGTCTTATCCACAATCCTTCTAAGATGCCTTGGGAGACAGATCTTAGTTCAGACTCAGCACTGCTTTTAGAAACTACCCTTTGCTTCTGGCTATTCCAGGCAACAAGATTTCCCCACACAAATGGGCAATAACCTAAAGTTGGTCTTCTATCCTTATAGGTTCCTCCCCAGTCTGCATCCGAGTAAACTTCTATTAATCTTTGCTCTTGCCTTATGAAAAATAAACCTTTTCCAGGTGTAACCTTTAGATACCTTAGAATTCTGTATACAGCATCCATGTGGCTCTTTCTTGGATCACACATGTACTGGCTAGCAACAGTTACAACAAAAGCTATATCAAGTCTAATATGGGAAAGATAGATCAATTTTCCCACCAACCTTTGATATCTCTCCTTGTCTGTAGGCTCATCTTTCTCTTCATTCTCTTCTAACTCTTCCTCAAGTTCCTCATCTGATTCTTCACTTTCTTTTTCCTCTTTGGACTTCTCTTTTACCTTCTTCACTATAATTGACATATCTACAAGTTTACACCCTAGCATACCAGCTTCCTTTAGTAGATCAAGGATATATTTCCTTTGAGACACATAGAGCCCCCCTCTTTTGACCTTGCAACTTCCATTCCCAAAAAATATTTTAAGTTGCCAAGATCCTTTATTTCAAACTCTTTACTTAAAACATTTTTCACTCTCCCAATCTCCTCTTCATAATCTCCTGTAATGATTATATCATCCACATATATTATAAGAATACACCTCTTACCGTTTTTCGTTCTCACAAACATGGTGTGATCTGAGAGACCCTGCTTGTACACTTCAGCTTTCAATACTTCTAAAATCTATCAAACCACGCATGTGGGGATTGTTTTAAGCCATAAAGTGATTTCTTCAGTTTACATACTTGATTTGTGTGCCCTGTGCCGAAACCTAGAGGTAAGCTCATATAGACTTCTTCTTCGAGATCTCCGTTCAGAAAACCATTTTTTATGTCTAGTTGATGTAATGGCCATTCAAGATTTACAGCCACAAAGAGTAGAATTCTGATGGTATTTAACTTAGCTACAGGAGCAAATGTCTCCTTATAGCCTAAGCCATATGTTTATGTAAAGCCTCGTGCCACCAATCTAGCTTTTAGCCTATCTAAGGCACCTGTGGAATCATATTTTGGAGTAAAAACCCATTTGCACCCTACTACTCTTTTTCCCTTGGGCAACTCCACTATATCCCACGTTTCATTCTTTTCCAAAGCTTTCATCTCCTCCACAACAGCAGCTCTCCATTCTGGTATGCTCAAAGCTTCATATACATCACGGGGAATCTTCATTGTATCAAGATTAGTCACAAACACATGAAATTAAGGAGAGAGAGAGCATGGCAACTTACAAAACTTCTAATAGGGTGCTGAGTACATGATCTCGATTGCCTTTTAAGAGCAATAGGTAGATCTAGATCATCTACCTCCTTCTCTTTAGCAATACCTTTCACTTCTAGTTTGTTATTTTCCATAATCTCACCTTCAGGGACCTCTTTCAGTTCTGAATCTGGTAGTGCTATTGGCATGACAGCCTCTACATCTCGCCTCTTCTTCCTTGAGTAAGTCATGAGTTCTTTTTCCAGTGCTGTACCTGCATTACTGTTATTCTTTAAAGGACTTTTCACTTCAGTTTCTGGCCTAGAAGTCCAAATTTCAGGTGCAGGTATGTTTGAAGCAAGAGGTTCAGAACCATTTTGAGGCTGTTCTGGAATAGATTCAGGCGAGTCAAGTAGTTCTGAAGGTTCAAAAATATTTTCCCGGTTTTCCTAGCTCCCCAAATACTGAAATTCACTCCCCCTCTCCCCCTGAATTGAAGAATTTGGGAAAAAAAGGACAGATTCAAAGAATGTGACATCTCGGCTGATACATAATTTCTTGGATGAGGGATCAAAACATTTATACCCTTTTTGAGTGGAGGAATAACCAAGGAAAATACATTTGACAGCTTTAGAATCCAATTTGTGGGAATGTTGAGAATGGACACGCTGTACAGCCAAAGATTTTAAGGGAAAAATGAGAATCAAGATGAGGGATAGAGTGAGATTCTTTTAACTTATCAAGTGGGGTAACATGAGACAAGACACAGCTGGGAATACGATTCATCAAGTAAGTTGCAGTGAGTATCACATCACCCCAGAAATATTTAAGGACATCATAGGTAAACATGATAGCACGAGCAACTTCCAATATGTGTCTGTTCTTCCGTTCAGCAATACCATTTTGTTGTGGGGTGTTAGGACATGTACTCTTATGAATGATGCCATGGTTTTTTAAGAAAAAATTCGTTGGCTTATTACAATATTCAGTTCTATCATCTGTATTAAGTACCTGAATTGTGGTGTCAAACTGAGTTTTGATCATGGTATAAAATTCAGAGAAAATAGTGGGAACACTAGATTTATCATGTAATAAGTAAACCCAACATAATATAGTGTGGTCGTCAATGAAGGTAACAAACCATTTGGTATGAGCACGATTAGGAACATGAGCAGGGCCCCACACATCACTATGAATAATGGAAAAAGGACGAGAAGATTTAGATTCAGAAGATTTGTAACTAGATCTTTGATGTTTAGCAAGTTCACAGTCAGCACATTGAAAGGAAGACAACTTATGGAATTCAAGAAATAAATGACATAAATATTGAAAATTTGGATGAGCCATTCTCCTATGCCATAACATAAGATCATTAAAGTCCTTATTCTCAAAGTAGAGGCAATATATTGCACCGGATTCTAGACCAAAGATTACTCATGGTTGATTCATCGAGATAGTAGAGACCACTATGCTCTTTAGCACTGCCAATCATCTTCCCCGATAAGAGGTCCTAAAAAATACAATAGGTAGCACAAAAATGAGCCCAACACTGAGCTTATTTTGTCAATTTACTAATAGACAATAAGTTGCATGCTCGGTAAGGCACATGAAGTACGTCTTCTAATTTCATAACATCAGAAATAATAACATTGCCTTTACCCACTATAGATGAGGCAAACCCATCAGCAGTACTGACAGTTTCATGCCCAACACAAGGTGTATAGGAACTAAATAACTTAGAATTTGATGTCAAATGATCTATGGCTTCGGTGTCAACAATTCACTTGAAATTACTAGAAGTAGTAAGTAGAGCACAATCACCTTTATGTGCTATTGATGCAGTGTGACCTTGCTTCTGATTCTGTTCAGCCTTTTGAATCACATCAAGCATTTCAATCAACTTACCCAACTGTTCTTTGTTTATCAAAGGTAATGAATTTGAGTCAGTCTTCTCTTGTAGAGTGTCATGAGAAGTCTGATATCCCCGTGTCTTTCCCCTTCTAGGCTTCCAATCTGCTGGCCTCCCATGCAATTCCCAACAGGTCTCACGAGTGCCCTTGTTTCTTGCAATGTTCACACCAAGTCTTCCCTTTTTGGCTTCTATGATCTGCACCTTTGCTAACAAGTGCAGCAGAGTCTAGAGATGGTGAAGAATTAGGAACCGTACCAAGGAGCATCACCTTACGTCGTGAAGCCTCTTAGCGTACTTCAGAGAAAACTTCTCTCGTTGAAGGTAGTGGTGATTTGCTGAGAACATGTCCACGTACGTGTAACCCAGCCAGGAATTGAAAAACACGTTCATTTTCAATTTACTCCTTATAACAAGCCACATCAGTAGCATTTGACCACTCCACCACAGTCATTAAGTCGAGTTCTTGCCACAATGCAGTAAGCTCCAACCAGAATACAATAACATCTCGTTCACCTTGTTGAATAGTCCATGTCTTAGTTTTGAGTTCATACAGCCATGCTAAGTCTTTTCCATCTGAATAAGAGTCTTGCACAGCCACCCATATCTCATACGCGGAAGGTAAGAACATGAAGCTCTGTTGAACTTCCGGTGTCATCACATTAATGAGCCACGACAAGACCAAAGAATCATTGGTACACCACCGTTGCCTTTCATCGGGTTTGGTTTCATCTGGGATTCTGGACGAGCCATCCAGAAGACCCATCTTACCTCTACCTCCAACAACAAGTTTCACAGCCTATGCCCATGTACGATAGCTTCATAGTCATGATTTGCATCGAAGATCCATCGTGGTTAGTAGTCAACCCAGAGAAACCACCAAACTTGTTCGAATCATACAGCGAGGACCCATCACTTTGCGTCATCGGTGAAGATGGGCGATTAGGGTACAACTCGTCTGCGATGCTTTCTGACTTGTGCTCGGCGTTGAAAACGTGTGGAGAAGCAGCCGGCTCTAATACCGTGTAGTAAATGAGCAATCTGCTTCTCTCTATATTCATCAAAGGAGGCCGAGTACATATATACAAGAATAGGAGCAATAATCTCTCCGAAAAATAAGGGACTAGTATCAGTCAGTAGCTAAATAAGGTAATATCTAATTAAAGACAGATCCTACCTAATCTCTTAGGATAACGAATATTAATAGAAAATATTTACACATAATATCTAATAATTACACGATCTGACCACAGAAACTAATAGACTTTATTTCTCTTGTGAAGCTTTCCACAGAAGTTGGAGAGTTTTCATTGCTTCACATAAAACAATCATTCTTTCCAGATGAAAATGAAGAGAAATGAACACATGCATCTATTGAGAAAAAAATTGCAAAAAGCTCAACAAACAAGCAATGAGACATATCGATATCAGAAGAAGGCTTTTTGCCAAAGAGAAGTTAAACCTGAAGAGGGGCCAGTCTTAGTCCAGCGGCAACAGCATTATGAAACTCAGGCCAAGCCTTGAGTTCTTGTATGTTCCTAATGTTGGGATCTAGATTAACCTATCGAAAGCAAGAGTGGTGCAAGTTAAAAGAGATGCAAGAAACTACTGAATAATTTGACAAATCAAAGCAAGTAATATAAAGGCATTTAAGAATATGAAAAGAACGTACAGTCGCATTTTGTTGGGCAGGCAACCGACCTGCTAAAACAAGCTTCGGAACAGTAAATGCCTAAAAATTTGGAAAAGATCCAATAAGAAAGTATATTTTCACAAATGACTTTACATTATGAACTTTGAAGGCATAAGGAGCATAAATTTCAAAGCACCTCAGTCAAGAGTGTATGTATGGTTGCAAGAGTAAATGCCCCACGTCCTATAGGAAGTGCAGTAGTCCTTTGGGCAAGGTGCCAAAGTTGAGCCTTCATAGCAAGCAAAAGAAAAGCATAAGAGGTAAGGATTGCTAAAAACAATATTATGTTTAATCAGCAAGAGAAATAAGGAAATATCCACTTAGAAAATATGCAGAGAATCAGGAATGAACTTCTTTGTCATTTAAGCTGGTTTATATTTTGTGTCCAGAGAGAAGCAAGGTCCATTACTACTAAAAAAATAGCCAGAAAATTTAGAGAAACATCAAACAAGTTTACCACATTGCTCTCTAATAGGGCTGATGATTCCCAAAAGATTTGCCTATCATTTCCTAAGGCTTACAATAGACAATCTAGGCAGGGAGGTGATTTAGAGAAGACTAAGACCAGTGGTCAAAGGTTTATTTGAAGATTTATAACTGTAAGATTCAAATGATAAAAGGAAAGTCAGGTTAGGTGTAGCCTAGGATATGAGTAGTGTCAATAGGGGTAATGACTACTTTTTGACTCTTTAAATATGTACTAACATGATGAGGGAGGGGGAGGACTTTGGAGAATTGTGGTCAAGTGAGGAGAGTTCTGGCCTCTCGAATGCCAGATTAGGGGTGGAGAAGATCATCTTTTCTTCATCATTTTATCTTTCTACCTTAATGTGTATTTGTGAGAGGCTTGTGCTTGTGTTGCTGTAAAGAGGGTGTATTTTATGATGTTTCTTGTACTCTGTAATTGTCATCTGAGTGTATTTTCTGGTTTTCCTTGTTTTTAAGCTCAATAGAGTAGAAGGTTCCATCACTCTCCAGTCAGGAGAAAATATAATAAACGTGGCAAGGAATACACACTATAATGGATCATGCTAAAATATAGTAAAGGTTCCACTCAGAAAGTACACAAAACTAACAGGGATAATGCTGTTAGAATGATACTACAAAGGATATCATAGATTCACAAATGACAGACTTTAATACCTTATGCTAAATTACCTTCTATTCTGTATGAACACAATAAAATAAAGAGTGAAGTGAAAAATGTCACCACATTTCTATTGCTGCTGTAGATTTAGTTGACTTGATGATGTCAAAATTCTAAATCATCCAAAAACAAGTTGTCATATCTTCATTTACTCTAATTTGCAAAATAAAATACAAAATAAAAACTAATATTTTTAATGATAGTAATAAATGGGAGAACAACATAAACTTCACCTTTTTGTGAAAGTTACATTGATCCTATTAAATCAAACTATTTTTACCATGACAATTAAATCAAGCTCCCTGATCTTAAGAATAATTGCAATAAAAACGAGCTAACTTAACCAAATTATAATGATAAGAGCAAAATCAAACTATATTAAAAGAGATAGAATTTACACAAGAAAAAAAAATGGCCAGATATCCTGCAGAAGGATCACTGTCGATGCCCCAGAAAAAAATAATTAAAGTGAATAGATATCAGAATAAGGGAAATAAAATGTATTAACGTCTTGGACAACTATACCATCTGGGCTGCCAAGCCTCAAAAAGAGAGGAACAAACTCATTGAAGTGTACAATGTAAATCAAAGCAAGAGGAAAACACAATCAGACTAATTATTACTAACAACTTATCATTTGCTTGAAAAAGCAAATTCAAAACAAAGCTGTAGGGAGTAAATAAAAAATTCACCAATCAAATATCTTGAAAACTACAGCATACCTGCTGGAGGTCCTGATCAGAAGAACTATGGTTAATAGATGTTTGAATAGCCACAGGTCTTGAAGAGCACAAAAGGCGTCTAACCTAGTAAAAGTAGTGGAAGTTATGATTTTTCAAATAAATGCAAAGAAATAAAGAAGCAGAGAAAAAGAAGAACATGAAGAAGAGTAATAAAGAAAATACTAGTTTGTGTAGAACTTGTGCGCCATCACAACAAGCATCAAATGACTATGCATAGCAAATTAGCAACTAAAATGTAGCATGATACTGGCAAAGCAAGCATAAACTAGGTAGAAAGAGGAAAACACTAGTCACCATCAAATGATAACTGATACCAAAGTCAAACAGATTAACATTGCATTTTTCATTATAGACCATAAAACAACCAAAATCGGTAATAGGATCAAAATAAATTAAACACTAACACGGCAAACCAGATTATTTAATATCCAAAAAAGAGGCACTTAACACCAACAGGGTACCACCTACAATGCTGAACTTTTCTCTTCTTTCTACTACCATCTTTTGTTGTTAACGTTACTGAACTCAGCAGTGAATAATACTTACAATAAACAGCAACTTCTTTGCATTCAAATTAAAGTCCAAATTTTAAAAAATAAATTGATGCAGAAAGTTTGCAATGATAACTCAAAATGCAGTTAAAGAAGCATCCATACAATTCCAATGAAGACTTGAACATAAATGTCCATTCTTTTTGGCCATAGACAAGCCACCATTGAGAGTCAAACTAGACCATCCCTATAAGATATGATAAATTGGTCCCGTTCAAAATTCCCTGTTTCCATGTAAAGTGCCATAACTGACCTCATTCAATCTCAGATCACGCCCATAACGCAACTGAGTGCTTGAGTTAAAAATATGCTCCATACCATCAATCATAGACCCCTCAACAGAATCGGTGTCCTCAAACTTTGCACCTTCCAATCCAATTGCATCAGAAATAGTAGAAGATATTGTGACCGGATGCAGGTTTAGCATGTAAGGGGTGGACATAGAGATTACGTTCACATTGGTTGGTCTTTCAAATTCCCTGTACTTGCTTTCACGTGCCAAAGATGACATTGCCAAATCTTGTCGGCCAAGAAGGACATAAGCAGAAGCTGGCCAGTCATTGGGAGGAGAATCTCGACACTTATCTAATGCCTAGGAGGCATAACATAAAAACTCAGGAAAACAAGATAAAAAAAAAACAGATCAAAACAAAAACAAATGATGTCATACAATCTACATCTATATTCTATTTTTATATTGTAATAAAATATATAAGGAGTCACTATGCACAAGCTGTGAACAGTGGTGCTCATTTTTTTGGACTCCATGCATTCTCTATTTGTTTCATAACATGATTGGAGTCAAACTTACATGACGCAGTGGAAGAGATACACCAAAGGGGAGTGAGTCTAGCTGTTGAAGTCCAAACCTCTCCCCAACCATTGCCAAAACGGTTAATTCCTCCTTTGAACAATGTGATCCTGAGGCAATGTTACAGTGAATGCCTGAAGAAAGCTTCTTTCCGAACAATTTAGCACCGGATAATATACTATAAAAAGAGACTATTTTCCTAGCCCAGCTCACCACAGAGCTTCCATCTTTACGAACTAAAGAAGGAAGATCAATAATATTAGCAGAAGTATATCCATGTTGCAAGCAGTTCTCCAGCCACCTGAATAAATTGGGAGGAGTTTTCATCTTCCAGGAAATGGTGGTTCTAGACATCAGGAACAGGGAAGAAAGGCCAGGAAAATCTCGAATGTAATGATCCAGGTAGTTTTCCTCACGCAGAAATTCAGCAATGTTGCATAAGAGAACTGCTAAAAGCGCCAAATCTCTAAACAACAAATACCATATAAAAACTCAGGCTAAGAAAATATGTATGGTATAGAATCACAACAAAGTAAAATGAAACTAAAAGTGGCAATTATGATTTTCAAGTGAACACGATTGCATTATGAATATACTGGAAATGAGATATCCTAAAAAACATTTAAATCCATAAAGCATATGGCAGAAATGATAACTGAAAGAAAATCAAATAAACCAACTTGGCTGTCAATACTACAGAGGATAATGCATCGGATACAGAGCATGATACAGACTGAATCAACCTATCCTAGTCATTGGCCAAACAATCTATCAAGAAAAACTGTGTCAACACATCAGAATACACAAGTATGATGATAGAGCTTGAAACCAAGTTTACATATTAAACCAAAATAAACTAGAAAACTATGATGTGACTTAAAATTATCTAGATAGCAAACAGGGTTCTCCATACCCATATCCAACCAACCAGCTCTTCCTAAACAAAGACCAAAATAACCCCGTCAAAGATGCTAGCTGGGCAAACATTGACCTCTAACTCCTCTAAACGAGTTGGAAAAGAAATCATAAAAAGGCATACCCTTTTCGAAGATTATCCAGTTTCAGACTCTCGTAGACTGCATGAAGAGATTCTAGACCTTCCATTAACAGTTCAGAATAAAAGGGATTTTCAGAAGTCTCTGTACAATCAATAGATGAACTAAGGGAATTTGCTTCCTGCCAACCAAGTGATCTAGCACAAGATATTCCAGAAACAGAGTTTACTTTGCAGAAGTTCCTGTGGAATTGACTTCTAATAAGGAAGTCCCAAGCTGAGTGTGCCACTGAAGTTGAATGCTTTTGTGACATCAAGCTAGATTTTCCGCATATTTTCATGATTACACTACAAAAAGAGTCCCACTCTGAATCAACGCCAGAGTCTGACAAATGGTCAGGGTCACCATCTCTCCAGAGGTGACCAAGGAAATATCTGTAGAAGCTAAAACTAAGCCCCTCAGCAAGTGCAGTGATGCAATCATCAGTTAATAAAGATGATGGGCTCCACTGTAATGCACATCTGTAAATCTACACATGAAATGCAGAGACATCAAAAATTCTGTTTCATAAAGTCTTTAGGACATATTTATCAAATCATGATACATATCATGAATCAAAAAATATATTTATAATCGTGATTCATAAATTGTATTGAATCATGATAAGATTCAAGAGCAAATAAAAAATGCTTGAAATATAAAATATGACATCTGTATTCCACAAAATATGCATAAAATACTCAAGATAAAAAAAACTATGCCCCAGGAATTCAGAGCCCACTTGCCAAGAAACTAGCACAGTACGACTTCAGTGTCAAAAGAGGAAGATAAATCCATGAGTAGCAACAAACCTTCATATTATTCACTATTACATTGATACGCCCACCAACAGCATCAGCCAAGCCGGTAATTTTTATATCATGGGACAGAAATGTTGTTTCCGGAAATTCCAAATCTTGAGATAATTGACCTTCACTCAAGCAAGAAGGTAGCATATATCTACACAAGCATTGCTTCCCAGACTACACATGAGCAAGATACACCAAGAAAGAGGATCTTTAAGATATAGCCATTGTTGACGTCATGTGACAAATAGGAGATCTTAAGAAGGAAAAGCATTCAAAAGGAGCCATTGAACCAGAGATCAATCTGAATTTAGAACAGTCATTCACAAAAAGAAGGCCTCCTTTATATGAGAAACCATAACCAAGCAAAACAGGCAAATTATCAAAGAGTTCAGCCTCACTCATTTCAACTGTACACCAAACAATTACTCCCAAAATGGACTTACAAGAGCAAATATGTCAAATTCCAATAAACTAGTAAAAGTCATCAGCTTTAGCAAATTAATACTCTTCAGGGAGATAAGTTATTGCAAAAAAAATAAATAAATAAATAGAACCACTAACTAGCAGTAATATTAAATAAACAATTTCTACAAAAGAAGTCACATGATAGATCACAAACCCTGCCAACAAGTTGGTTCAAAAAAAAGAATACAACATTAATGAATTAACTAATAAATAAAGAAAATAATCAAAGGTTAAAACTTTAATATTAGGAACAGTGAATTCATTTCCATTATTTTAAAAAACTAAGCAGAAAATTGAAAGAAAACATGCAAACCTGGATATTGTACAGACATTGAGAAACGACAGGAAAAGTAATATAACTAAAAATTAAAAATGGCCGTCAATACGTGCCACTTATGTATACTGCTTACATAGAGATGCAGAATGTTATCTGGGGCTAAAACTATGATGTCTGAATATGGCAGTGGTCCAACTTTCACTCTGGAAAACATATGTGGAGAAAATCATGTCACACACAATAAGCAAATTCAATTTACAAAAAAACTAAAAAAGGAAATAATTTCTCATTTTACCTTGGCTGAGTTACAGTCACTGGAGAAGCAGCAATTGCAGGTATGCTCCAGCTCATATCAGGTTTAACATCAAAGACAAATTCATTATTTATTTCCACATATTGAAGCCATACCGATAACAACTTTCTCTGTTCTTGGTAAAGAAAGCAGACAACAGGAGCTGCATCATCATCAGTAGCCATGAAAACCTAGTATATATTTGAAGAGAAAGTTAAAAATAAGGAATAAAATAAATTGAGCATAGATGATATACCAAAGCTATAACCAACAAAGAATTCAATGTAGAAACATGCATTCCTGTCCGAAGGTCTGCCTCAGAATTAAAAGAGCTACATTTATTAAAACCCCATGATCTTCGTTCTTAGTCAAAATTAGCAATAATGGAAACCATTTTACATTAGATGAGAAAATAGAACACCATTTAAAATGAGAACAAAGTGAAGTACCCATTAATTTTCAGTTAATTTGCATTGCCAAATTAAATATGCATGCAAGACCAACAATAAACAGGACAAGGGGCACCCTTCTATGATCCCGAACAATAAGTATATAGAGCAATAATCAAAATGTGTGAAATTCACCTTACAAGCAGCTACATGAGCGCCTTTTCCCTGCCATATTCTACGAAAGGACAAATGTTTCGGCAATACACCTGCAGGATCTACATTTAACAAACCAGTGCCTGCCTTATCATGGTTAGAACCAATGACTTCTGCAACCCACAGAGAGTGCTGCATCTTTCCTGAATTTAGGGTAGTATAACATAGAATCACCAACATAAGAAGCATATCACAAGGAAATCCGTAACTGATTGCAAGAGTTTTATGCAAGAAACCTTTATTATAAGATGCCATGAGAGGGACCAGATCACTTGTCCAAATTGTCTTTTCCTCATATTCCTTCATTATGATCAATTTGCCTCTTTCTTCAATAAAGATTGGCTAGAATCAAGGTAATTAAAATACAAAAATTAATGTGTAAGCAAACAACAACAAAGTGATAACAGAACAAGAATATATTGCAGTAAATAAGTAACAAGATATCACAGAAAACAAATCACAGCAACAATCCTGATAAAGTTGGAACATTTTTTGCGCCAAAGCTGAAGATGTTATAACATACTTTTTGTTCATCCAATGGATCCATCCATATTAGATGTGAGGATATCGTAGCCGCCTCTCCCTTTTGGATATTATTAGGTGCACTAAAGGGACTAAAACATTGCTGTGGACTGTGTCCAAGTTCTCTTCTTGGGCGCCACAAAGCATGTGCACTTGGCAATGGGCTTGAAGATGAAGATGAAAAGGGAACACATGATGGTATATTTGTTTCAACCTCCTGCTGGAGTAATAAACCGAATGGAAGCGGCCATATAGATGAGATTGTATGTGGAAGTGGAAGAGATACAACTTCTCCTGGTACCGGGAAAAAAAAAAAGGTATTGGTTTACATTGAAAATGAAATACACACTAAGATGAGACCACGGATACACACTTGCACAAACAAAGGAGGATCTGCTAAGTATAAGAGAAGAAACATGAGATGATCATGCCATGAGGAAATGATAGAGGGATGGAAAAGTTACTACTTCACCTATAAAACCGAATTGGACCCTAGTTTCCATATACCCACTAAAACAAAAATGTAATCATATGAATTCAAGCAAGGCAGTAATCCATAACAGTAGAGCCACAAACCAGCTTCTTTCCCACGTTGCAAGGACAAGTTTTCTAACCTAGTAAAGTGAAGAGTCAATATACTTCCAATAAATCAAGTCTTTCAGGTCCTATTCTGGATATAGCACACCGGCATATTGGCTGCAGTAATAAAAAAATTATAAACTTTGTTCAATCTACCAACCATTCTATTTTTCTATCCCATGTTTTTACAGGAAAAGCTTTTCTCTCATCCTCCTTTGATGACAAGACGACAACAAGAGCTTATCCTGGCAACTGTAGAAGAAGATAATTTTCTTAGTTAATGATTGAGAACAGCTCTTAGCGACTCACCCAACGTATTATAGATTGTCAAACAATCAATTTGTAGTATGCACAGAAGAGGTTCAGCTGCAGGGCCCATATGACACCAACATACCTATAATTAAAGATTATTATGGTCAAAACAAAGTTATTTCAGTAACCAGAACAAAAGGTATCACCATACCTACTACAAGAAAGAAAAGAAATCAGTTCTAATACTTTAAACTTCTAGTCATCTACCTTCACACAGCCTAGTTGGACGTACAATATTGCAGCCATAGTCTGGTTGCAAAAAATTTCACCGCAGTGATAGAACTCCAAGCCAAGTCAAATAAGACAATTTTTTTTACTTTCGTAAGAAGGAGAGGAAGATATCCTCCCCAAATAAAGCAGAAGAAGAAGAAAACAAACAAAAGCTCAAGAAACCAACAATAAGACGGCTGTTTTCATACAGAGTTATGCCCTCCAACACCATTGCATATCTGCCAAGGGAATTCATTCTTTCAAAAAAGATCTAGTAACTGGTAGCCATTGCCAATGGTCCTATAGCCTAATGGCACCATATTCTCCTTGCTTGTGGGAGGTCACAGGCTCAATCTTACTTGGTTCAGGCTTTTAAACTTACCTCTTCATAATTCAAAAAAGAAGTGACAACGATTGCAAGAGGCCATAAAACTATTCTACCTCGTAAAATTTTCACAACAAAGGTATTCTGCAGAATATATGAGCGTTCAAGGACACCCCCAGGAGTCAGCAACAGCAAATACACCCAATGTGACCATCTACAGAGGGGAAGCAATGAAACATATAGAGAAGTGACATGAATGAGAACATTTACTGAAGGAAGTCAATAACTTTCCTTCAACAGCAACGTTCAATACACAATTCAGTGCAACTGAAAATATAAGGGAACATTTTCTAAATCATGGAGGAACAAAATACATACCATGATGACTGGGGATCGCAAAGTAAATCTCTTAAAAACCCTTGAACCCGTCGACCATATAATCCTGTCACAGATGAGTACGTTCGTTGGATGTAGCACTGAATATGGATTAAGTTTTTAAAACTGGAGAGTGGTTGGATATGCGACACGAAATCAAACAGCGACTGTACAACTCTTAGCGTACTGTCGCAGTCCCGAAGTCTTGCGGAGAAACAGAAAATCTGGATACAAGTTTAGAGCTGAGAAATATACAGGCCTGACATACTACAGTTTTCTTAGATATGAAGGTTGAAATATTTTTCCTTGATTTCCTTTTCTTCGTTTCCACTCTTTTCCTTTAAACATTAAACAAAGGTTCTTGGACAAAATTACCGATTCCCTCGGATGAAAAGCTCGTGATCACCCTGATTACACAACGCGGAAGTAGCCTCGTCGCAGGTATCTTCCTCGCCACGGTCTCGAGCAACTTTGGGATCGAAAAGAAAATAGTCGTACTTGTCAGTAATTACGTCAGCTGGTTTTCCGTCGAGAGCTTCCGCGATCAAGCCAAATGGCTTGAATTCACCAAGGACCGTCAAGCAGCGGCTGTCCGCCGGCATTTTTCCAGTGGAGCTCGCCTGAATGGGATGTACGAGAGCGGGATGGAGTGAGGGAATCAAACGGCTCTTCCCTCCCGCTCTTATTGTTCCTCCGGGTTTGAGTTTGGAGCGAAAACCCCCGCTCGGTTTTTGTTTCTTTTTTAGGACGCCAGCAAAACCCACCACAGCCCGATTTTAGAGGTTAGGTGGCGTGGTGTCCCGTACGTTTTTTTTTTTTTTTTGAGAATGACACCCAAGGTGCTCAAATCAAGAACAAAATTTTGGCCAAAAAACAGAGGCTTTGAATTAATTTTACAAGCCCATAGCCCCATGTGCAGATATATTTTCTAAGAAAAGATTTATCTATCCATCGTTTGAAATGTGTAAGTTTTTCAAGTGTATGTAAAATAGAATATTCATTTATAATATGATAAAATTTGTACATTAATAATATAATATCCATTCATTTTGCATAATTTATGTAATTTAATTGAATAATAATGTATAAATTTCAAAAGCATATGGACAATAGAATGTTCATATATAACATAACAAGATCCTTACATTAATAACTAGAGCTGGTAATATGAGACAACCCATAAGTTGACTAGCAGTGGATTACAGGTTTGGCAGAGTAGGTTAGCATGGCTCTCATTATTCATGGGTTGAATTCTGCAAACTCGTGACGAGGTTAGTAGGTTAGTAGGCCAACCCACAAGTAAAAAAAATTTTTTATAATTTTTAAATTTTAAAAATTATAAAATTATCTCACTTTATTATTTTTTTCACAGTGAAATAATTGTATATTCCCCCTAAAAATTAATTATCCAAATAGTAATAAAAGTCTTTCTAACTAAGGCATAGTTATATCATCACTTAAATATAAACTAATTTAATTTTATAATCATTTCGTTCTCTAATCTTTTACATGATTGATCAATATTATATATATATAAATTAATGAAAATGCTCTATCTATCTCATTTTTTCTTCATCTTATTTTGGCATTTTGCTACAAAATTGATGCCCCAATTTAAAATACCAATTCTATTTTTAAGAAGAAAGTGATAATTTAAACTCTGATTAATGTATTACTACCCATTCTTTCTAATATCTTTGTATTCATTTTTTTCCTTTTATATTCAAATTAAGATGATAAAATAATATATGGTTAGCACTGCATAAATATGTTTAATTTTTTAAATAAAAAAGGTAACTAAACTTTTTCTATTTGCTAGTTTGGGTAGAACTATTTTGCAAACAAGATAATTTAAATAAGCTATCATATAAATGATGCAAAATATAATAATATATTTTATTTAATCTTGTCTTGATCACATTCAAATTATATTATATCACTACTTAAATATATGAACAACGTGTTTTTATTGTTTTCTACCAAAATTTAAACTTGAATTAAACAAATATAAAAGTATTAAATACTTAAATCGTAATTCCATGCCCGCTTGCTTTGAATGCTTTATTTTAAACTCAATCTCATTTATTTATTTTTTTATCTATTTTAAAAAAATATAAGTGGGCTAACCCATTAACTCACATGTTAACCTGCTACGGGTTCAAGTTACACAAGAAAGGCCAAAACCACCTCACATATAATTGAACTCATTTTGTTTAACTCAACCCTCAACTTTTTTATGGGCTAGCAGGAGGCCCAACTTATATTATTGACTCTATTAATAACAAAATATCAATTTATATTTCACAGTTTGTGTAGTTTAGTTGAACAATAATGTACAAGTTCCTTAACTGTATAAACAACAAAACATTTATACATAACATGATAATATTTATACATTAACAATACAATATCATTTCATTATACAACCTTTGCGATTTAGTTGAGCAATACTCCTCCAGTCTTTTTTATATGTCATTTATACCAATTTCGTTAATACTAGTTAAAGAAGTACAAGGAATTAAAGCATGTAAAATTTCAAATATGTTCATTTATAACAAATTCAAAAAATTGTATCATGTTACTTTTTTCCTCTCACGAAGGATAATTTTAAAAATGCCTCTCAAATATTACATAAAAAACCACATCGTGACTTATAAATAGCATTAAATAGATCTTTTAGAACCTATCTTATAAATGAGACTGGAAGGAGTAACATTGCAAGTGTATAAATGAAAAAATATCTATATATAACATGATGAAATCCATATATTACCAACATAATGTCCCATGCACAATGTTATCTTTTCAAATAAGGGACAAACAAATCTTTTCACTAGAAAACGTGCTTGCATATAAAACCTTTAGGCATGCAAAATAAATTTGGAAAATATTGGGCCTTAGGTGTTGATTTCTTTAATCTCAGGATATTTGGTGTCATTCTCCCCTCTTTTTTATCCTGTTGGAGTCATTTTTGACTAACTGTAAAATATTAAATATGAGGACCTCCCTCAATAGGGATTCAAACATTGGCTTGTTGCATTTTAAGAAACTAGATATTTTGCTAGGCCCAACCCGTGGTTGTCTTGTGCTTTTTAATTTAAACTATATGGTTGGGCATGTAACATCATTTTTTATTTTATTTCTAGGAGTTGAGTAGCAATATGAAGGAATTGTTATATGGTAATTAGAAATTATCATGTAATTATTTAAGATAAATTATAAGGTCTTCATTCCAATACAAATTTTTTGAAAAAAGAGAGTTAATAAAATTAAGGGGTTAAATTAAACTATACAAATCATTTTTACACTTGAGTGCTTCTAATTATATAAATATTATTAAAATTGTATTTGAAAAAGTATATAAATTAAATTTTCAATCCTTGGGATTTTATGAAAGTCTTGGAAAATAATAGAAAATTATGAAAAATAACTTGAGAATTCATAATATCATGGGTTTTCGGATGCAAATGAAATAAAAAGAAATTAGGAACATGACTTAATTAAAAAATGAATAAAAATGAGAAGGGGGGGATAAAAAAAAGTAAGGGGAATAAATGGCGAAAGTTGGGCGAGTTTATTAGGGGGTAAATGATAGGAAGGAGAATGGTGGGTTTTGCTGTGGGAATTGATAAATGGAAAAAAAAATAGAATAACTAGAAAAGGGAGCATAATAATAAAAATAGAATCGATAAGTTTTCGGTCACTTTGATTTTTGATCGCTGGGGTGCTTATATTAGAAAAAATAATAATAAACAATGGTAAATTTTCATTAATAATATTTTCGTTTAATAAATTACTAAATTGTGAAAAATCAATATAAAATTTTAGAATGTTATAGGGCGCGTTTGCCATGTGAGGGAAACGATACTAATTATTATTCACTTTCATGAAAAACTAAATATTTTTTACAGCTATACATATTGAGTGTTTTTTAATATTATTTGAGACAAAAGCATCGTATTTATATTTAATATATCTAAATAGTATAAATCAAGGCTAAAAGCTGACGTCAATTAATTTGATAGGATCTAAGTTTCACAAAATTAAATTAAACAATAGATGACATGAAAACGATGTGAGCTCGATATAGTCCATAGTAGCTTTTGACAGTTTTTTTATCACGAGCTTTTGATAGACTTTTTGCTCGCAAGCATTTTACATGCTTACTATTTGTAAATTGATTGATGAGTTATATATGTAAATTATAAATTGTAGATTATACTCCATTTGGATCACAATATAAACTATTTTTTATAAGGGTGTTTATAGGTTCAATTTGGATTAGTTTTGACCAAAAACCAAATTAAACTGAACCATTCGATTTACTCATAATCAGGATCTGATCGGTTTTTATGGAGCTTGATTTGATTTAGTTTAATTTTCAATTTAGTTCGATTTGGTTAAGGTCTGTATCAAATTTTAGTGCATTTATTTAATTTTTTTCATTTTTTCCATCTTCATAATGGTGCTATGTATTAAAATTAAATCTAATTCTTTTTTACTCATTTTTCATAAATAGAAGTATAAAAGCATAATAAAATGTCAATGTGATAACAATAATTAATCATAAAAATTGATATAAGTTTCTAAGATTAAAATTATTTAATATTATGCATTTTCATTTAAGTTCTTTAAAAATGTTTATCTATGTATCAACATTTTAATAAATAATAAAAAATTATTATACAAAATTCAAAACAAAATACTTCTTGTGAATAAATTGAATACTGATGTTAAGCTGTAAATAATTAAATGATGGTCATAACATCATTATTATAATTATTTAATATTATACATTTCCATTCAAGTCCTTTAAAAATGTTTATCTATTACTGTAAAAAATTTAAAATAAAACGCTTCTTATAGATAAATGATTAGATATTTTATAAATAAATAAGTAGTATTTTTAATCAGGTTTGGCTCAATTTAGTTCGATTTCTAGTACTCAAAATTGAATTTGAACTAAATCAATTGGTTCTCGTATCATAAAAACTAAAGCAAACTTGATTATTAATTGGTTTCTTTCGACTTGGGTCAGTCCTTTCGATTTGAATCGGTTTTGAATACCCTTAGTTTTTGATAAGTCACGGTTAGTTCAAAACATAAAACATTTAATATGTTTTATATGTTTTCTTCGATCATGTGTTTGTTTTATTATATTTCGCTCAAGTCATGGATGATGATATTTGAATATTTCAAATATTATATTCATTTTACTCATGAATAAGATAGGGAAGACAGAGAAATTTTTTTAAAAAATCAAGATTTTAATCAATTTTTTTTATAAACATGAGTTTGGTTAAGAGTGACTTATATTTTGATCAGGACGAAATATAAATTCATGCACCAAACACCTTTAATGTATCCGGTCACCTAGAATGCAACTTTTATCGAGCGAGGAAAGCTAATGCATTCATGTCATTAAGATGCGCTCATCAAGAAAATTCGCTATTGAGCCTATCTCAATTATGCTATCCATGAAAAAGCTTGCAAATTCGTAAATGTGATCAAGCAAGGTGAGCATCTACCTTTTAAGTTTCAAGCTTCTTGAAAAAAGGCATTGCCATGTCGTGTCTCTTTTTTATTGATGAATTTGTTATTTTAAGTGAAATGAATATGAAATGAATAAGGGTTTAACTTGATGATTCACATGCTATCCTTAGAGAAAAGGTTAATATTCCTAAGTCTAATATCCTTTCTCAAATAACACACATCACGTGCAAAGGGAAGAGATTAGCAATTTTTTCAGGGTTCCAAACTTTGACAAGTCCTAATAAATAGCTTAACACACCAATGCACTGTGAGAGGGTGTCAAAAGCCATGTACTAGTATCCTATTGACAAAATGGATAGATGCTTATCTTATTGGAAAACCAATACACTTTTTGCACATGCTTTTGTATCTTCCGTGGTTTTTGGCTGTGGCTGACACATGCCATGCAAGTAAAGCCATTTGCTAGTTTCAACGTGCAATGAGATTAGCGAGCGTGCTAGTAATTTTAAACAATTTTAAATCGACTTGAAAAATATACCTGGCGTAATGGGAAAAATTTTGCATATAGAAAGATGGAAGGGGTTCGTGTATAAGATAGGCAATAACCTAGAATAATGCTTTTATAACGAAACTCATTAGGAACAAAGACATTGTATAAGTTAGGCTCATGTGTGAGAATCATAGGCACGTGGAGGACATGCTACTATTAGTGGAGAAGCGTCAAGGTGGTTCTCATGCTAGGATCAATATCCAACGTGCTTAGGGATATGTCCTAAATGGTATAGCTTGGAACACAGTGGATAGGTATTATGTTTGGATTTGGAATGCCATACAGATCCCACATATATACCAGCTAACTCAAAAGCCTCGTTAAATCACATTCTTTTGAATCGTGTCAAAAAATGAAATGATGTTCGTAATTTGGAGAGGTTAGGGGAGTAGAATGGGGTCATGATCAGTTCATGGTTACTTGATCACATTAAGTATGAACTATCAAAAGTGAGATGGAAGCACATGTGGGATTAAGATGACCTACCCATTTAGAGAGCCTTTACCCTCGAGATGACTCATTTATTATGAAATCAACTCAAATTATTTAAATGTATAACCAATAATTCAAGTGGGTCGGGTTTATTCGGATTGGGCTTAAAGTATCTTACCTTTTAAAATATTTAGATAAGCCTAGCCTTAATTTTTTAACAAGTTCAGGCTGGCTCCTTGAGCCTAAATCACACGCTCTGCATACCTATAGAGTGGGTAATTTTGGTGGTTGGGCTCATTTAGGTTAGCTTATTTGGATCAAGCTTAAAGTATTATATATTCTAAAAAAGCTCATATAGTCAAGTTGAACCCTAACTTTCAGGGGTGGTTTAGACTTAATCCGAATTATTAGCTTTATTTAAATGGCCTCATAGCTCATGGAGGGGTGTCTCTAGAAACGTAGGCCCTATTTAGTGCGAGGCATGTAAGTTTAAATGATGGGTAATGGGATATTGAGTGGAAATAACTTTTTAAAGGTATGTTTGGTACGTGTGATAAGGTTAAAAAAATTAGGCTTTGATTAGACCAAAAGATAAAATTATCCTCGTCTTTTTCTCATCTTATGATTGTCCAACAATTTTAAAAAAAAAACAATTACTCCTTATTCCTTCTTCCTACTATCTTTATCACATCCTTCCTCCTCATCTGGTTCCAAGTAAGTTTTTTTTACTAGAAGTTCCAAGCAAATTTCATCAACATAATATCTCTCCCCCTTTCCTCACTTACCTGAAATAAAGGAATGATGGTGGTCACTTGAAGCCTAGAAATACACTTTAGAGGTTGAATAATAATAGATCGAAGCACGGTCGAATCCTTGCTTGAAGTTGATCATATCAAATCTAGAGATTGACTATGATGAAGCACCATCGTTGCGTCCTCATTGTTGCTTCTCCACCTAAAAGAATGAATCCTTAATTTGGATTTCATAGGCTCCTTGATTTCTTGATCTATTGTGACTTTGTTGATGCTTTGTTTAGAGATGGTAACTATGACAATTTAGATTAGGACCATATCTTCATTGTTGTAAGCCTTCTTAAGAGAGGTGTGAGAGAGCAATGAAGGGTAATTTGATTTGAAAATATTTAACCCTAAGGTTAATTTTTCAATACTATAAAGTGGAGGTATTGAGAAATCCAATCTGAGTGGGACGAGCATTAGGATTAAATTTATCAATGTTTCATATCAAATATACAAAGTTGAGATTACTCAATCCCAATCTTGAGTCCAAGCCTCTAGTCCCACGTATTGAGGTATGCTTCTTTAACTATGTGCAAATGCGAGGTTACTCCCAACAAGGCTAGAGCTAGGAAGGGTTTACATGATCCATGGTTGTATGATGTTTGCGACAAAAGTGTTGAAAACTTTCGGCATGCCATGACAAAACCACTACTTTTTTAAAAAATATCTAAATGCTCTTATCACATGTTAAATCAATTATAAATAAAAAATTATGGTTTTTAAAAATATTCAAATATCCATATAGATGTTAAAATCAAGCATGAACCCAAATTTATCATAAGTAATTATTATTTATTTTTCAATTTAGCATTGAAATCATGCCTTCCTAAAAATTTATCAAAAAGCATATGAACTTTATTTTATAAATCATAATTATGAGTTTATAATTCATTTTAAAATTTAAATATTTTTAAGAAAGCAATACTTTACGATTAATTTTAGTATACTAGCATTAACTTAAAGGCAATCTGGAAAAAAATAACCATCACAAAATATCACTATTTTGATTTTCCCCCCACTAAATTGAGAAAAAACATCCTTTCATAGACTGGTTCACCACATGATCAGGCTTCATTTAATAAAATTGCATTAATTCAATTAAATAAAATTTTATATATTATTATTTTTAATAAATTTAGTTCTATAATATAATACTTATTTAATTTTTGAAGAAAAAATAATAATAATTTTTTTAAAATATACAAATAATATTTTGATCATTCAAAATACTATAATTTCCCTAAAGTCCTTAAAAACTTTTTATCATTAATAAATTTATATAAATTATCAAACTACCTTTGTTAAAAATTAATAATTTATAAGTTTTATTTAGATATTCACAATTTTCATTCTTATATTTATAATAATACAATAATAAATGAGGAATTAATATGTAAAGTTATGATTTGTTGTTGTATTGTTGCATTGTTGTGAATATAAGAAGGGAAATTATAAATATTTAAACAAAACTTGTGAATAATTTATTTTTAATAAAAGCGATTTAATAATTTATATAAATTTATTTATAATAAAAAGTTTTAAGAATTTTAGAGGAATTATGATGTTATGAGAGATTAAATTATTATTTATATATTTTAAATAAATTTTATTATATTTTCACTTTTTAATTTTTTTATTAATAACATAATTAATTTGTACTTAAACTTGCATGCTTTATTATTGTCGGAGAGATCTCTGCTTCTCGTCATTTCATGGGAATTCCGTTCCTTTTCTCCCCCACTTCTGGTGCCGGAAACTCATTCGTCTCTCCTTGATTCGTTCCTGCCATAGATCTCTTTTCCTTCTTCCGAGGGCCCAAGTCTTCTCCATCGCTGCTGCCAGATCTCGCAGTGATTTGGATCCTCTAGAAGCTCTCCCTTTTAATGCTTTTTTAGTTCGCTATTTGATTCTTGATCTACGAATTCAGTCACCACCACAGATCCGAGTCTCTAATACTCGGGTCATCTGTCACAGGCACCATGGCAGCTGCGAACGCTCCGATCGCCATGAGAGAGGCCCTAACTGTGAGTTATACTTCACATTTCTATCTTGCATATTCTGTAAACTTTGTGCCCCCCCCCCCAAATTTTTCTTGTTTGCTGAGCTGAATTGGCGATTTTATTACATTCCTCGGGACTAAGATTATCTGTTTTTCTTCAAATAATCTTAGAGGTTCTACTGCTGTAGTGTGCTCAACTGTAGTCTCCAGTTAAGCACTGTTGAATAGTATTTCCCGACAGTGTGATGAAGTTTGCTTTACTTACTTAGCGTCAAGTTTGAACAGATCTGAATGATCCTAATTTGAGTCTGAACTGGAGAATAATGTTCTTGTTCTTCCGTTCTCGCCAAATGCGTATTTCACCTAGCATACTGAGCTTTGTTATTTGGTTTTCTGACTTGTTATTGTAGTTGCCAAGCATTGGCATCAATCCACAGTTCATCACTTTTACGCATGTGACGATGGAATCCGATAAGTACATATGTGTTCGGGAAACAGCTCCGCAGAACAGCGTGGTTATAATTGATATGAACATGCCAATGCAACCCTTGAGGAGGCCTATTACTGCGGATTCAGCTCTCATGAATCCAAATTCGAGAATTCTTGCTCTGAAGGGTAGGATATATCCTTGTAATCTTCTACTGAAATCACAAGTTGTTTTTTAGTTGCTAATACTGCAGATACTGGATCTCCCAGCATTGCGCTATTATCACGAAAGCTACCTATCATTGTTGATATCATGAACTATTGGTTGCTAAGATTTCTCGCGTGATTGCCTATCTCGTGTAAGGCTGATGCAACCTCCACATAAAATAGTTTGTCCATTTTGAGTAGCTGGTTCTAGAGAACGAGCAAGTCCATACTATAGTATAACCATTTGGACTTGTAGTTAGTTTCACAATCGGTATTATGTCTAGTCAACAAGATCATGACAACATAATTTTTTTTCATTTTTTGGTCCCTTGTTGTGTCTGCTGCCTTAATTTGTTAGATTGACTATAAAATAGTTGATAAAATGCATGTAACTTGATCACTAGGATTACAGAACTATGAAGCAAGGATCTTTGATTGATTTGAAAATTGGAAGTCAATTTAAGTTCTACACAGTAGATCCAATGAAAATAATGTGTAAATGCATATAATATCAGAAATAAGCAAACGAAATTTTTTTGATGGAACATAAAAATACATATGGGGAAAAATCCTTATTGCTTTTCGTTCCCGTATTATGATAACAGGTCTCTTAATTAAGTAAAGTTTAGTCTTGTAGAAAGAAGTCAGCTTTCATGTTCATTAATGACTTTATTATTATTCATAGCTTTATACACGTGCGTAGGAGCATGCTTGTGTGCACGTGTGTTTTTTGGGGGGGTTTCATGTGCTTTCATATTTATTGTTTTTTATCCATTAAAATTTGTTTCTAATAGATTTTCTCCGACAGCTTGGGAAACTTTACCTATGAATTGGTCTATCAGGCTTTCCTGCTTAGATATATATATATATATATATATTTTAAAATAATTTCATACCTTCCACTTTTGCTATTGTGTCTTTACCGAGTCCTAATTTCACATGAAGTCTATCAGTTGTTGTGAATCTAAATATGTTCGTGTTAGCATTGTCTGGCAATTTGACAGTGCTTTTATCTTTTACGTCAAACTTTTTCCTTGTGCCAGTAGGATATCAATGTGTATTAAGATGATTTAATGCTCACTTTTGGAGTGTTCCCATCCATTGTGAGAAAATTTAAGGTTTCAGTTGATTATGCTGTGTGCTTTTATTTGTTCTGTCCTTAAATTTTTACTCTTGAAATATCTTAACTAATGTGCCATATCTTTCCCTTGAAGCCCAACTCCAAGGGACAACTCAAGATCACTTACAAATATTTAATATTGAGATGAAAACAAAGATGAAATCCTATCAGATGCCTGAGCAGGTAGTTACTATAAAATTATAAATATACATTGACATTACATTTGCTTAGAATGACTTGATTAATTCTTGTGGAATTCCTTATTGCATGTATAGGTAGTATTTTGGAAATGGATTACCCCAAAGATGTTGGGTCTTGTGACACAAACCTCAGTATACCACTGGTCAATAGAAGGTAAGCTAATGATAATCTACTCAACTTAGTATTTTGTACATGTGTGTTATTACCCAATCTTGCCCTGTGTGGGTTGGAGATAATCTGCACATTGTTAACATGATGCATGCAATACAGGTGACTCTGAACCTGTAAAGATGTTTGAGAGAACAGCAAATTTGGCAAACAATCAGATAATTAATTATAGATGTGACCCTACTGAAAAGTGGTTGGTCTTGATTGGCATTGCTCCTGGTTCCCCTGAGGTATATTTGTGGTGTCTATCATATTAAGCTGACATGGTGAAATGCATTCAACATACTTTGGATTTTTCATTTAGCTCGCCTTCATTTGTCTTAGATCTGTATCTGCTAGATGTAGCTGCATATAACTGTATGATTAACTATGATGTATTTCACTATGATTTTCACCATTCTGGTCTTGCTTGCTTGATTTTCCATTCCAGAGGCCACAATTGGTTAAAGGGAACATGCAACTTTTCTCTGTGGATCAGCAGCGAAGTCAAGCTCTTGAAGCACATGCTGCATCGTTTGCTCAATTTAAAGTGTGATTCTTTTTTTATTTTGTGTTCTTGTTGCATTAATTTTTTATTTGGTATTACCTAAATAAGTTTGGAAAAAATTAAACTGGGTTTTGGATAGGTTCCTGGGAATGAGAATCCTTCTGTACTGATTTCTTTTGCCACAAAGACACTCAATGCCGGTCAAATTATATCCAAATTACATGTTATTGAGCTGGGTGCACAGCCAGGTATGTTATTATTTCATTCACATTATTCATTGGGCAGGATGGCTGGTGAACATATTTGTCTTGTGATTATATATTGATTTCCTATCACGAGATTCATAATTTAACATCAATTTTTTTTTTAAAGGATGGGTCATTGTCTTCTGACTTTTTCCATTAAGATGCCCATAGAACAGCACCTTTGTTCTACCATTCAAGAATTATTGAGTTATCTATATATTGGGATTAATTGCAATATGTATTGTTTAACTAAAAAGACATAGTAGTTTAGTGACTGCTTTGAATGTGTTAACATGCATTGGATTGATAGGAAGTTGTAACTCATGCGATTATAAAATACTTCTGTTTGGTTTGATGATTGCTGTGACCTGGTGAGAGTTGGAGCTACAATTAGCACTCAATTTTTGTTTCTCCCTGTTCTTATTTTCGTGGGTGTTATTTGATAGCTAAGTGCACCTAGTCAGGAAGCAATATATTTAGACCAGTCAAGGACTTTAAATATGGCATTATGATTAAGGATCTTGTTTAACTGAATTATCTGTATAGCATTTTATCATCTTTGGTTCAATAGATTATTCTTGTGGATGTTAACTTTCCAAATCTGCTGGCAGGGAAGCCATCATTTACAAAGAAACAAGCAGATCTTTTCTTCCCCCCAGATTTTGCTGACGACTTTCCAGTTGCCATGCAGGTATAGAAATTGCTGAATGTTGTTGGTCATTTCATCAATAGATGCATTTGATCTCTAATATATACATATATTCTGGCAGATATCCCACAAGTACAGTTTGATTTTCGTGATCACCAAGCTTGGCCTACTTTTTGTCTATGACTTAGAGACAGCCACTGCAGTATACAGGAACAGAATTAGCCCAGATCCTATTTTTTTGACGGCAGAAGCTTCATCAGTGGGAGGTTTTTATGCTGTCAACAGAAGAGGCCAGGTGTTATTGGCTACTGTTAATGAACAAACCATCGTGAATTTTGTTAGCGGTCAAGTATGTTTTGGACCTTCTCAATACTTACGTGGCATATGAAAAAATGAATATTGTTATAACATATTTTTTTTCTGTTGATTACCACAGCTAAACAATTTGGAGCTGGCAGTTAATCTTGCCAAAAGGGGAAATCTTCCAGGGGCTGAGAAGCTGGTATTTCTGTTTTTACATAGAATGTGATGGTATTTCTTCATCAGGATGTTGTTTGGGAAATCCAAAAAGCTCAGATTTAGCATCTTTTAATATCTTGGAGTTTTATATAGTTGCTAAATGCAAAGTTTTTTGTGAAGTTTGATTGGCATCGCAACTTGTGTATTAGAAGGTTGAAGCCAATCTTTCTTTCTCTTTATTCTTTCGGTGGATTTCCTCAGCGCAGGTTATTTCACTGGTCTTCAACAGTAGGGTCAAAGTTTCTGTCCTCTCTGCTATTTGTTGTACTGTTTTTGGTTGTTAATACTCGGATAAATGTCATATATTTGTGAAAAATAGATGCTTGGAATGAGGATGGATGTGCGGACATACACGTAAAGATAAAATTCGAAATGAGCACATACGTGAAAAAGTGAGGGTGGCACCTATTGAGGAAAAAATGGTAGAAAATCGGTTGAGATGGTTTGGGCATGTACAAAGAAGACCAAGGGAGGCACCAGTGAGAAGAGTGGAACATATAACTTTGAGTCCGATTAAGAGAGGTAGAGGAAGGCCTAAGAGAACACTCTTGGAAGTTGTTGAACGTGATCTCTTAATTAATAATATTTCTAAAAGCTTAATAAATGATAGAGCACAATGGCGTCTTGCAATCTATGTAGCCGACCCCACCTAGTGGGATAAAGGCTTGTTGTTGTTGTTGTTGTTGTAGATGCTTGGAATGAGGGCGGTTATTAGTGATCTCACGTGTTATGTGCTTTGAATCTATTGCTTCTTTTCGCATTTGCTTCCTTTCTTTGTATCCAATCTCCATATCATATTGCTTCTTTCTGTATTTCTCAAGAGCTTTAAAATTGATTCTTTAATTGTAATAGAGCACAATGGTGTCTTGCAATCCATGTAGCCGACCCCACCTAGTGGGATAAAGGCTTGTTGTGGTTGTTGTAATTGTAATTTGCATTGAACTCTATAACGCTTGTTCTGCTCTGTTCCTATGTGTTACTCTTTTATGCTTGGGCACAATGACTTATCTTCTTGTTCACTTTACAGGTTGTGGAACGTTTCCATGAACTCTTTGCCCAAACAAAGTATAAAGAAGCAGCTGAGCTTGCTGCTGAATCTCCGCAAGGAATTCTTCGTACACCTGACACTGTTGCCAAATTTCAGGTACAGCTTCCTTTTATTTTCAAATTCTTGTTTTATTAGCTATTGTGCTTTGTCTTTTAATTTTGTCCGGTTAGTTCACATTTAGTCTGTAGGAAAACTAAATCTCCGTTAGACACAGTTATCTTCAACATTTAATCTCTCCTGTATCATCTGCAAGACAATTTCTTTCTTTTTTTATTTGATAAGATGTAACTAAGCAAAATTATGCTTAGGTTCTTTTTGCAATGAAAATTTAACAAGGGATTCGCAGTTGCTTGTTGGGGGGAATGAAAAATTTGAACTTCTGCATTTTTTGGTAGTGTCCTTTCTTGCTCAGAGACTGTGATTGTAAAAGTTTTGCAATTTGTGGCAGAGTGTTCCTGTGCAAGCTGGGCAAACTCCTCCACTCTTGCAGTATTTTGGAACACTGTTAACAAGAGGAAAATTGAATGCTTTTGAGTCCCTGGAATTGTCACGGCTTGTTGTGAACCAGAACAAGAAAAATCTGTTGGAGAATTGGCTGGCTGAGGACAAGCTGGAATGCAGCGAGGAGCTTGGAGATCTTGTTAAGGTTGGGTTGCATCTTAAGTTTTGGAATTAGTAAAGTGATTCCTAGATTATTTTTATACTTCTTTTTGCTTAGCTGTATACTTCTAAACAAATTTACCTGATGTGCAATGGTTTATGTGTTAATTTAATCAATATTCTCCATTGTAGACAGTAGACAATGATCTCGCTTTGAAAATATATATCAAAGCCAGAGCTACTCCAAAAGTCGTTGCTGCTTTTGCTGAGAGAAGGGAGTTTGACAAAATCCTGATATACTCAAAGCAGGTATAGGATCAGTTTTTGTATTGAGAATATTCAAGTGTGGTTTGTATGTTTACCGTTTCCTGTTCATTTGTCATTTCTTTATTATTACTATAGCTGGTGAAGTATAAGCGTAGCTATTGTAATTGCCATTGCTTTTCTCCCTTCTCCTTCCACTTTACTTGAAGTATTCGGGTTTTGATGTTTCCATGGCTCATTTGTTGCTATAGGTTGGGTACACACCTGACTACCTCTTCCTTTTGCAAACAATTCTCCGGACAGATCCTCAGGTATGTGAGAAATCTTTTCCGTGCATAGTGTGATCATTTTATCTGATCTATTTTCTCTGTATCTTTTTCATTTTCTGCCACCCGTGTTGGATATATTCCTGATAGTATTTAAACAAAACTGCACACTAAGTTGACAGTATCAGCTGTAAATTTTCCTGACAAATAAATTCCTTGAATTGGCTTTTTCATATTAATTTTTCAGGGTGCTGTTAATTTTGCATTAATGATGGCTCAAATGGAGGGTGGTTGCCCAGTTGATTACAACACCATAACCGATCTGTTTCTTCAGGTGTGTTATCTATGCAACTACATTAATTAAGCTGCTGCGGTGGACTGGGGATCAAGAATTTGATGATTTAGTTGCCCATGATCATTGCTTTTTTATTCGTTGTTCTTCTAAATGTTAGCATGCCTGCTACGCTGGTTCTTACCGTCCAGCCATACTTTCAGCAATGGATTGCTTGATAGTCTACTTATGATTCCCCCCTCCTTTTTTCATTACTTAGAGAAATTTAATCCGTGAGGCAACAGCTTTTCTCTTGGATGTTCTGAAGCCAAATCTACCAGAACATGGGCACCTTCAAACAAAGGTTCTGATCTACTTGACCCTTTCGTTGTGGGCCTTTACTCTTAAATTTCTTTCTTTGTATTGATATGACAATTTTTTTTGTTAATTCTTTTTTCCAGGTGTTGGAGATAAATCTGGTGACCTTCCCCAATGTAGCTGATGCAATCCTGGCAAATGGCATGTTCAGCCATTATGATCGCCCTCGTATAGCCCAACTATGTGAAAAAGCTGGTCTTTATGTGCGAGCTTTGCAAGTAATGCCTTTTCACATTTTTTTAAATGTTTCTCTTTCTCTTAATTTGAAGTGAAAGTCACCCCCTTCATTGAATGCCTTGCTTTCCTGCAGCATTACATTGAGTTGCCAGATATAAAACGAGTTATTGTAAACACACATGCAATAGAGCCACAGGTTTATATGCTGCATTGTGTATGAGTTGTATCTTATTTTACATCGTGGGAGTTTCTAAAATACTTGCACATTTTCTCATTCTTACAGTCACTGGTAGAGTTTTTTGGTACTCTTTCACGAGAATGGGCTTTGGAGTGCATGAAAGACCTTTTACTGGTCAATCTCAGAGGCAACCTTCAGATAATTGTGCAGGTACTGAGGTATCATTGTCTTCTTAGACATTAAAGATATCAATTCATAACTAAATCTTATGTACATCCGTCCAGGTTGCAAAAGAATATTGTGAACAATTGGGTATTGATGCCTGCATAAAGCTTTTTGAGCAATTTAGGTCATATGAAGGACTGTACTTTTTCCTCGGATCATATTTGAGCTCCAGGTAAAAGAACTCTTTTTCTGGTTGGTTGGTGTATGTTTGGATTGAGGATGATGGAGGAAGGAGGAAGGGGATTATTGTTCAAGACATTTTATTTTATTTTATTTTAATTCAAACAAACTGTTCTTCCTTTTCATTCATTTTCTTCAATTTAAAAATAAACTGTTAAAAATAGATTCAAATCTACATCAATAAGAATGTATAAAGTAAATCTTTTCTTTCCTTCTCTTCTCCTCCGTTCTCCTCAATGAAAGCATTGCCTAGTATAGCCAAGATGATCCCATTTATGAAGAAGATATTATCCAATACATGTCTACTAATATATGCTTCTCTGAATAATTTTGAACAGTGAGGATCCTGACATTCACTTTAAGTACATTGAAGCAGCTGCTAAGACTGGACAGATTAAAGAGGTTGAGCGTGTAACTAGAGAATCAAATTTCTATGATCCTGAGAAAGCAAAGAACTTCCTTATGGAAGCTAAGCTTCCAGATGCACGACCTTTAATAAATGTCTGTGATCGTTTTGGATTTGTTCCTGATCTAACACACTATCTATACACAAACAACATGCTTCGCTACATTGAAGGATATGTTCAGAAGGTATTATAGTTTGAATTCTATTCTAGTAGCCTTGCTCATGCTTGGAAACTCAGGTGCTATCTACTTCTACTTTCTCTTCCTTCCTGAGAACTGGCTTGCTCTTTTTAAAGGTGAACCCAGGAAATGCTCCTTTAGTTGTTGGGCAGCTGTTAGATGATGAGTGTCCAGAAGATTTTATTAAAGGCTTGATTCTATCTGTTCGTTCTTTACTGCCAGTGGAGCCCCTTGTGGAGGAATGTGAGAAGAGGTGATGCCTTTCTTCCAATCCTGCATATTGTTATGTATCCATATTTCTAATTTTCATCATGTGGTCATTTGGTATGCAGGAATCGACTTCGTTTGCTCACACAATTCTTGGAACATCTTGTGAGTGAGGGAAGCCAGGACGTACATGTTCATAATGCACTGGGTAAAATTATCATTGATAGCAACAACAATCCAGAACATTTTCTCACTACCAATCCCTACTATGATTCTCGAGTTGTGGGCAAGTATTGTGAGAAGCGAGATCCCACATTGGCCGTTGTAGCTTACCGACGAGGGCAATGTGATGATGAACTCATCAATGTTACAAATAAAAATTCTTTGTTCAAACTACAAGCAAGGTTTGTGGTATATAAGTGACATGTCCTATATTTAATCATTTTTCTGTGTTTCATTGCTTGACTTGTATTATAATGAACAGATACGTGGTTGAGAGGATGGATGCTGATCTTTGGGAAAATGTTCTCAACCCAGATAATGCCTACAGAAGGCAACTTATTGATCAGGTTGTATCTACTGCTTTGCCTGAAAGCAAGAGCCCTGAGCAAGTTTCTGCTGCTGTTAAGGCATTCATGACTGCTGATTTGCCTCATGAATTGATTGAACTTCTTGAGAAGATTGTGCTTCAGAATTCTGCATTTAGTGGGAACTTTAATTTGCAGAATCTGCTTATTTTAACAGCCATAAAAGCTGATCCATCCAGAGTCATGGACTATATTAATAGACTGGATAACTTTGATGGACCTGCGGTTGGTGAAATGGCCGTAGAAGCTCAGCTATATGAGGAAGCATTTGCAATTTTCAAGAAGTTCAATTTGAATGTTCAAGCTGTCAATGTCTTGTTAGATAATATTCAAAGCATTGACAGAGCTGTAGAATTTGCCTTCCGAGTTGAAGAAGATGCTGTTTGGAGTCAAGTGGCCAAGGCTCAACTCAGAGAAGGCTTAGTTAGTGATGCAATTGAGTCGTTTATTCGAGCAGATGATGCTACACAATTTTTAGATGTTATCCGTGTGGCTGAAGATGCCAATGTTTACCATGATTTAGTGAGGTACTTGCTGATGGTAAGGCAGAAAGCAAAAGAACCCAAGGTAGACAGTGAGCTCATTTATGCATATGCAAAGATTGACAGGCTGAGTGACATTGAGGAGTTCATTCTTTTGCCAAACGTTGCGAATCTTCAAAACGTTGGTGACCGATTGTATGATGAGGCACTTTATGAGGCTGCAAAAATCATATTTGCTTTTGTATCGAACTGGGCCAAGCTGGCGGTCACACTCGTGAAGTTAAAACAGTTCCAGGGTGCTGTTGATGCTGCAAGGAAAGCCAACAGCTCAAAAACATGGAAGGAAGTTTGCTTTGCCTGTGTTGATGCAGAGGAGTTCCGTTTGGCTCAGATTTGTGGGCTCAACATTATTATCCAGGTTATAAGCTGATTCATTTTTCTAATTTATTTTATATGAACTAGGATTTTTTGGTACAACAGGGAAGTTTATTTTGAATTAGGCTTTAATCTGATTTTTTTTAAAAAAATAACTGATTTGAGCCTTCCAAAGATTCTGAAAAAATGTGAAATAGCATTCCTAAAAGTATGCACATCTTATTCCTCAAAGCTGATTCCTAAAATTACTGATGAATGGAGAGTTTCTTGGCCTATCTTATTGGGAGAGTTGCACATTGGTCTCCAGTTGGTGTTTTTGTAATCTTTCAAATGCTTAGGGTCTTTTTTCCCCTCAAATTGTACAGGTGGATGACTTGGAAGAGGTCAGTGAATATTACCAAAATAGAGGATGCTTCAATGAGCTGATATCTCTCATGGAGAGTGGTTTAGGATTAGAACGTGCACATATGGGTATCTTTACTGAGTTGGGCGTTCTGTATGCTAGATATCGTCCTGAGAAGCTTATGGAGCATATCAAACTATTTTCAAGCCGCCTCAATATTCCAAAACTCATTAGAGCTTGTGATGAACAACAGCATTGGCAGGAACTGACATATTTGTACATTCAGTATGATGAGTTTGATAATGCTGCAACTACTATCATGAACCATTCTCCAGAAGCATGGGATCTCATGCAATTCAAAGATGTTATTGTCAAAGTTGCCAACGTGGAGTTGTATTACAAGGCTGTTCACTTCTACCTGCAAGAGCATCCTGATCTTATTAATGATGTTCTGAATGTCCTTGCACTCCGTGTGGATCATGCACGTGTTGTGGACATCATGCGGAAGGTTGTATTTGTACTGGAAATTATTTCATTAGATCTTAGCTCATAGCTTGCTTCCTGTGTTATTAATTTTGTCCACATAATATGCATTATAGGCTAGTCACCTTCGTCTTGTGAAGCCATACATGATTGCAGTTCAGAGCAACAATGTCTCTGCTGTCAATGAGGCATTGAATGAAATTTATGTTGAGGAGGAAGACTATGACAGATTGCGTGAATCAATTGATTTGCATGATAACTTCGATCAAATAGGCTTGGCACAGAAGGTGATCTTTATGTCTTCATTGCTACTATTTTTCAATTTAAATTTGGAAACCTCATGGACTATTGTTATCTGATGCAGATAGAGAAACATGAGCTTCTTGAGATGAGACGTGTTGCTGCTTATATTTACAAGAAGGCTGGCAGGTGGAAGCAGTCCATTGCCTTGTCGAAGAAGGACAGCCTATACAAAGATGCCATGGAGACAGCTTCCCAATCTGGTGACCGTGAACTAGCTGAGGAATTGCTTGTTTATTTCATTGAACAGGTATCAAAATTAATTTATATCATGTATGATTTGCTTCTCTTCAATGTGGGCCCAATGAGACTGAGAATAGAGGGGAAGGGGAACAAATAAAATGGCAAGATGGACTTTTACTTGGTTATAGATGTCACCAGTTGAATGTGCTTTGATTATTGGCTATGAAAAGCTATATTGTCATGATTGCATATCAGAACTCTATGAAATATAAAAAATATAAAGCTGTACTGTTTGCAAGCCATAAATGATGTGGTCCATCTCAGGGTTTGTGGAAATACACAAGGTCCCCTCTAGTTTGTTCTTGTACACCTGCTATTCTTCCTTTTTCATAGCATGAAGAATTGTAAGTCATGCATTCATTTTTCCTATCTTTACAGGATTTGTTTTTTGGCTGTTTCATCCTCGATGTCTTATTTTCACCCCTTGATTTTTTGAAGGATTGGCCATTACATCCTTCCCCTCGCCCCCTTAAATTAATGGTGTTTCAATTTTTTGTATTAATTAATAATGTACGTTAAAGGTGCACGAAGCTGATACATTCTAATTTTCTTTTCGTATGATTATGTAGGGAAAGAAGGAATGCTTTGCTTCATGCCTCTTTGTTTGTTATGATTTAATTCGGGCAGACATCGCACTTGAACTTGCCTGGATGAACAACATGATTGACTTTGCCTTCCCCTATCTCTTGCAGGTCTGTATTTTATTTTGCTTTCTTATCACCTCTAATCTAGTCTACATGCATGTTCTTTTGCGAGAAATCTGTCTTCGTCCTTTAAAAAACATGGTGCTTTTACCTTTAGCTCCTCTCCCTGCCAGGTCCCCAAAATGCATGCTGCTAAGTATGCCTGATTTTACTCTAGAGAACTTAAGTTTCTCCAGGACGTCTGCTGATTTTATGGGTTAACAGTCCTAAATAATGATTCCAAACTATTTTTGGTGGAATGGATGACACAGATTGAATTGGGTCTCCGATAATACTTCGTAGATAATAGACTGTTTATTTAAACGAGTGATACATAGCTTGTGCAAGTTACTTTGGTTGGTTTTATTTATATGCTCTACCTGTGGTGTGGTTTTATTCTATGTTAACTAAAAGATGGACCCTCTTTTCAGCCTTATCTCTTTATCCATATCTTATATTTTTCTTCGTACTCTTCAAAACTAATGTTGTAGTTTATCCGTGAGTACACTGGCAAAGTTGATGAATTGGTGAAGGACAAAATTGAGGCACAGAATGAAGTGAGGGCTAAAGAGAAGGAGGATAAGGAAGTTATTGCACAACAGGTATTTAGTTTGGCGGCTTTGGTTGTTGCCTGATGCCATGGTGAAGTTATTGCATAGCGTTTGCTGAGTATTGCTGACTACTTCCGGCATTTATGTCAGCATATTGAATCATGATTGCCTTTTGTTGATAATTTCTATGTCGTCTGTCATTCCTTCTTTACAGATTGGACATTCGTTTTATATGATTTAATGTGATGTGTTTTCTGTTGCAGAACATGTATGCTCAATTATTGCCTCTTGCCTTGCCTGCACCACCAATGCCAGCGGTGGGAGGAGGAGCAGGTATGGGAGGTGGCTTTGCTCCTCCCCCTCCAATGGGTGGGTTAGGGATGCCTCCAATGCCTCCTTTTGGCATGCCACCCATGGGTAGCAGCTACTAACATCCAAGCCAAAGTTGAAGTTTAACTACTCGCTCATTTCATGCGGGAATTTTTCTTCTTGGGAGTTATTCATAGATTTATTTGTGGTATTTTGATGCAGCATTTTTTCCTTGCTTCTGATGGAGGTGGAGGTTCAAGTTAAAATAATTTCAAGTTTTCCTTGGGAGTTTTGTGTCATAGGGTGGTTATGGCTTAAAATGTGTTAAATCTTTTGTAGTTTTGAGGCATTCTTTTGGCTGCTGGTATGAGGTAGCCGATGATTTTCTGTATTATTTGTACCATTTTTCTTGCATTCAATGAATTAGTCCCCAGTGTATAGAGACTTCAGCGGCCAGCATGGAATGCTTGTCATGGCCTGGTTTATCTCTCGTTATTTGTTATATATATAAACTACCTCCTCTAAACCTGCGGACTTGCTGTTTATTGTGTGCATCTCGAGTTGAATACACGAGCTGACGCTCATCTCTGGTTCTAACAAGATTCCTGTATTTCCGTGTGAAATCACTCCAACATACATTGGAACGCAAGGGTTGGCGTATTTAGCTAGTTGCACTTTGTATTCATTTCTGCCTCCCGTGCTGAATGCAAGTTACTGTGAGCCACCTTATGACCTTATCGGTAAAACAAATTGCAATTCAAAATCTCAGTTACTTTAAAGCTCTGATCTCTTACATTTGTTTTACAAAGTCAGATGTAGCATTTAAACCAACGTTAATTATACAATTAGAACTTACCCAGTTAGTCTACTTGAGATAATGATTCAGCTGGTATGCTCTGATCCTTTTGCTACCTTTGTAGGCTATACTTTCAGAAAATTTTCCAAGAAAAAGCCACAAAAAGCACAAACAAGTTCACCCGAAAATTTATTATCAGTTTGATGATAATAAAGTGACGTCGGTTCTTCAACCGAAATAAGGAATCCTTTAAATATAATTCAAAAATCAAAATGAATCATGCTCAAGCATGTTAATCTTCCAAGCGAGACTTTAAAGCATTTTAATCTTCCAATCAGATTCGGACCAGGATTGAGTGTTTACGTTGACCAATGAATTGACACTCCAAGACCGCAAAAAAGAGATGAAATACACAAATGAAGTTACTCGTTTCAGTTCACCGTGGGCTGCTAGCCCATAACATTAGCGCTGTAAGAAGTATCAGGACAAACTATCCCATCATTCATCCGATGCACTTGACGTCGCATAACTGGGGATGCGCAAAGAGTCTATGCCTAAAGTTCGGATCAATCGTTCTAACTAACAACAGCTCGGTGGATTACCAACGTGCAATAGTTACGCCATAGAGAACCGGAACAACGAATATTCTAAAACCTCTTAATTCGGAGACAAAACAACATTCAACTAAGATCCAAATAAGTAAGTGAAAAAGAAACCAGTGAGGCACCAGTAGTTCTAGCACTAATCTCTCCTGGTTACTCCATTTGACAGCAAACCAACGAAGAAAAAAACGGGAGAACACAAAACTACGAGATTTGTTTGAGAGAACTACTTAGATCTCTGCCTCATCTTTCTGCGCTTCCTCTTCAGCCTCCTCATACGCTTCTTCTTCCACTGCCAAAACCATAAAATCGATAAGTGACAAGACAAGAAATGAAAAGAAGAGACCAGAACAAGTTTGCGTTTATTTGGCTAACCTTGGCTCTCATGATGCACAAAAACAGACGTTCCCTCCCTCCCTCGCCTCGAAAACGCTAATCGTTCCCAGGGAACGGAAGCTGCGGATAATGAACTAGGGTTTCCAACGCATGGGGATATAGCTTTTATAGAGAAGAAAACCTAACAAGCCCCAGGCTGGCCCTTATTATGGTTGGAGATAAATGGGCTTCTTTCTGAGTTAGGCCATTTTCCCTAGATCAGTTATATCTCGAGATATTTGGATTTTTCATTTTTGGATGAAATTTAAATAATTCAGATTCAAATTTAATATTTTATAAAATAATTTCTTCAGATAAAATTTTAACAATATATATTTATTTATATATTTTTGATTTAATATTTTAATGATAATTTTATAAAATATTAAATCATAACAATATAAATTTAGTTCAATAGCAGTGATGCAAATTGAAGAGAAATACAAATAAAAAAGGAGAGAATTTCAGACTTGTTTAAAATTGTTTGAAAAAGAGGATGATCATTTAGTTTTTATAGTTTTAACTTATTTATAATTTAATTTTTAAACTTTAATTCATTGTAACTCAATTATTAAATTTTAACTCTTATAACTCAGTCATTATATTTTTAATCATTTAAATATTGGTTCATATATCTTAAAAAATAAAATTATAAAGATTAAAATTATCTTAAAATGTATTATTAATATTTTAAATTATTAAATTCTTTTAATCCTTCTAGTTGTTATAAATTTTGAAATTTTAAAATGTTTTTATCTTTATAATTTTATTTTTTAAAATATATGTACTATTACTTAAATGGTTGAAACTATAAGGATTGAGTTATAAGAAAAACAAATTCAAGGACTGAATTAGAATTGAGTTAAAATTATAAAAATTGAGTTACAATAAATTAAGATTTAGGAATTAAGTTACAATTTGATCAAAAATACAGTGATCTAATGATTTTTTTTTCAAAATTTTTATTTTATTGTTTTGAAAATTAATATTTTGTAAAACCTGTTTTCAGGAAAAAAAACTTGTTTAAATTATTTGTTTGAAAAATTATATCTAATAATTAAAAAAATATAAAAACTTATTTGATAAATTATTCTCAAACATGTTTTGAGAATAAAAGATAAAAAAATTGTTTGATTAACTTGTTTTACATAAGTATTGATTTGATTTTTATAATTATTTAACATCTAAATGCAATTGTCATTAAACAATACTGAGAAAATTTTCTAATAAAATGGGGTTATATCAAGCAATGCAATGACTAAAATGATTTAATTGTCATCATTATTAAATAACGTTTTATATTAAAACACTACAAGTAATAAAAGGATTATTTCAATGGTTCCTCTTACCCTTCAAGTAACAAAGTTGAATCGCATGCAACACAAAAGTCCTAGAACAATACACCTCTAGTCCCACAACTACATGTGAAGTAGTGGATTGCCAATGTAATTGTTACTTAGTTTTTTTAAAAAAAAAAAAACAATTCTCATAAACATTGTTAGTACAGCCATTGCTAGGCTCTTCATCCCTTTTTTCTGTACAATGTTGCTTCCTTCTCTCATCTTGAATTCAAGTGTCGCCTTTTCTCTTTGAAAACTCCATAGCACCCACTGTCCTGCATCCATCCAAACACACCAAAGCCAAAAAAAAAAAAAAAGTTTTATATATACTATATGGAGTATCTCCAAGTTATAGGAAATATGCCAATGTTTGGTATTGCATCAAAAACTTCACTTTCAAGCCATGGCTCCAGCATAAAAACACACCAAAACTTCTACTAATTTCAATACATATCATCCTATATGCTCAATTGATCGGTTATGGTCTAGTTGGTATGCAAAGGAATGCATTGAATCAAAAAGTTTTATTTGATTAATTCAGGGAACAAATTCTAGGTGGTTTGAAGAACAAGTGAAAGAAAGTGAATTTAATTTGAAAAAAATTGTTGTAAATTCACAGAACAAATTATAAGTATTATGGAGAACAAATTCTAAAAGTTTTCACAAGTATTGATTTGAGAAAGAGGAAAAGAAAAGGGTCAAAACATAGAAAAGCTACCTTCCAAGTTTACTTTAGCTAGTCGGATGGAAGCAATGAGTTGAACAGACGGCACCTATGCACATAGTAGACGGCAGCTCATGATTGGGCCCAACTATTTGAATCTCGTAACTAATTTGATGAGTGGCAAAATGAAGACGATCAATGAGGATTGTTGAGAGAGAAACGTAGAGATAGGAGGGTTGTTTTGGCTCGAGTTATTCACCATAGTGCCATTAATGAAATCCGTTGTTCCCTGTCTCCTTTGTTATTCTCTAGAGTAATAAACTCAAAACATGTCATAGGTGTTCTGATTTTTAACTCTTCAAAACACAATTTTATTGTTTAAAAAATATTTTATCAGCAACATCTCGCCAAACAGTTTTTCTTTTTCTTTTTTTTTTGTTGCGCTCTAAAAAACGAAAAAACTATTATTAGAACTAGTTGCCAAAGACGTCCTTCATTCCTTTTATCAACGGCACTTTAGTGTAATTTTATTTTATTTTTTCTTGCCCGGAACACTTTAGAGCAATACAAAGAGCTACAGTCCATTGCTGTGTCGATGATAAAAAAAAATATCATGTTGAAATATAAAAAGTTTATTCTTTTAAACTTTATATTCTTTAAAAAAATGTTTAACACGTCTGCTAAACTAGAAGATCAATATTTTTGTTATGGATCAGTAGATCAATATTTTAAAACTAATAACAAATCGTATTATTCACAATTCATGACAAAATTCATTTTTCAAACCCAATCCGTTCGCATAAAATAACATGTCTAATTTATTAGAAAGCAAGTATTGCTGTATTCTTGATTTCTTTCTCAGACAAAAATGTTTACTCTAGATAGTTGACATTTTAATTCTTCACTTCACATTAATCCTGAATTGACATCTTGGAAGACTGCATGTGACATCACCAAGGATTAGAAAGCTCTGAAAAAGAATTTGAAGGAGGGGTAAAATATGAATGATCAAATGATGGATCTGTTGCCCAAGGTAAATTTTTTTGCCAACCAAAGTTTCTAATAAATACTTTTCAAAACTATGTCTTCACTCTCATGCTTATTACGTGCTTTGATTGAAAAGTTATTTTTATCTCAATTATGTATAGAGATTTGATTGATTCAAATATGCTTAAGCTAAAAATAAGGAAATTATTTTGATGGTAGCCTAATACAAAGTCTCTTGGACTCATTAATGGTACGTTTTTTATCCAATACTTAGAAAACTGAAATAAGAGTCAGTCTAAACTTTTTCCATATTGTTTATGACTATTGGATAACAAGATGATTTCATGCCTAAACTCTTGAGGGTCCTTAGAGAGACATGGGGGCATACACTTTTAGGAATAATTTAATCTGTTGATCTCACAAATTAACATTAGTTAAGGATTAAAGGACTGTATTATAATTTTAAAGTCAATTGATCTTTAACTGATATTAATTTAATATTGAAGTCTTTAGTTTTTATTTTCCCTACAATTTATTTTGATTTTTATAATTGATTTATAATCGCCTTGCATGGCACAGGGAATTAATCGGTATTACTTATACCACCTATCCCTTTAGAATTTTAGACTATAATGAGCGTGATGTTACGTTCTGCCATTAATTCTTATATTTCTTTTCCTAGGTGTTTTTCATTTTTTGGGTCAACTTTTCCAAGATGTTACTGGATTTGTGAAGTGCATGTATATACTTGAGGAGTATTGCGAGGACAATAATGATAAGTGCTGAAAATTGTGTCATAGAATCGATCATTATACTATACCCATTATTATTTAATGAATCTATCTTTTATTATCATATCAATTGCATGGTCATTATGATAATTATATTCTTAGACAAACTACAGTGATTGTCTTAAATGTCCCTGATTAGTCATTTATGAGGGATCATATATAAAATAAGACTAGTATAATTTTGATTAATTATAGATATACAAATCAAAGTCATAGGCACTGAAAGAGTATGAGATGTTGGACCGACCTGCTATAAAAAAGTTGTATGATATAAGTTATAAATTTATCTCATATGTAACTATATTACTAAACTCTTTGACCTGAGATTATTATGAATTTCTACATGATGACCACTGAACTTTGACCAGTCAAAAGTCACCTTTGATCGGGCAATCATAAAGGCTATGATTGAGTTTAGTGATATTCATACAGAAGAATATGAGTGATCAAGATAAAATTTATCCCTCACTTTAAGTGAGAGATATTATTGGGCCCATCGATGAGTAAGATTGAGAAAATATATGACCATATTATAATGAAAAGGTTTTTTTTGTCCATTGCTACAGTCTGTCCACTCAGAGTTTAAGAAAGTAATAGTCAGGTAAAGGAGAATGAAAATTTTATATCTCATGCTTGACCAAAATATTGCGTGACAAAAGAAATGTAATACGATTGCATAATAAGTTACATCGAATCATCAATCCCTATGTGAATTAGATAGTTGCAACATTTTGTTAGAGGGCACTTGTGACTTGTGAGCTAATAGAGTAATTAACCTACTGCCAACTTTATATGGGTCTACAGAGTCGCATATAAGAACAGCTCAACTCGAATTATAATTTTTAAATTCATTAAATTTAGAATATGTCTAGATTCAATAAATATAATATAGAGTGAATCAATTATATATATATATATATATATATTTGAATATTCATTTAAAAAATATTTAAATATATATTTATATGAAATATAAAATTTAAAATATAATTTTATATATATTCAAATATATATATTCATGTGTGTGTGTGTGTCTGGTATATATGTATATGTATATGATATATAAAATTATATAATATATATATATATATATTTGAAATATGTGTGTGTGTGTATATTCATGTATATATATATAAATATAATATGTATATGTGATATATATTATATTATATTATATTATATTGTGTTAGTTTTAAATTTAATTTTATATAATAAATTAAATTTAACAACTAACATGGTATGAGAGAATATTATATCGGTTTTATAATTTAAATTTATAAGATAAATTTGAATTAAATATGATATCATGAATTAAATTTATGAGATAAATTTAATTAAATTTTTGTGGATTTTTAAGTGGAAGACGAAAACCCTGATTCATATACTATATATAGATAGGACGTCCTTTATGAAGAAAGAAACAGTTAAAAAGGTTTTGATAGTAAAAATACTTTGAGAGCCACGAAACACTCTATATAAAGAAAAATTAACGTTTAGGAAGAACAAACGCTGGGAGCGCTAGCACCCTGTTTGAGTTAGAACTGTTCGTGTGGATACCGATAGAGAGAGCAGATCCACATTATCAACTCTTGAAATCCAAACTGTATCATGTTTGAAGGATTAAAAGGTAACTATTCTATTCATTGTGATGTAAACGAGTTCATTTAATTCATATCTGGATAGAGATTTTAAAAATTTTAATTTTTCATTGTGTCTCACTTTCCAACAATAAGTGCAAGCGTTGTATGCTATTTACAAACTGACAATGAGTAAGCCCCCTATATCTCTAGTTTTGAACTTTAACCTTACTTCCCCATTTTCATTATAATATATTTGCTTATTTATCTTCATTTTTTTCCAAGCAAAATGATGTTGAGTGTTTGCTGATGGTAACACACTAATGTGATAAAATTAGCATTATGCTAATAAAAATAGTGGTAAGTTGTTGTACAAAACATTCTTTCAATATGAATAAAATTGTAAAATCAGACTCATTAATATTTAGGGGTTTATTCTCAACAATATTATAAATCATTGTGGTAATATAAATTGTTCAACATTATTATTGATTTATCTCCCGGTTCCAGGGTAGTAAAAGCTAGTTCAGTGTTACAAGTTAAATTAGAATTTGGGTATTACTAAGCCCCAAGTCCAACATGATTCTATTATCCATAATGTATCAGCTAGTCTGATTCTAGCTAATCCAAATATTATTGGAAATACTATGAGGGCGTTGGTAAAAAATCATAAAACAAGATGAATTAAACACTGATTATAACTTTATTCATCTCTTTACAAGAGCTGACTGCCCGAAATCAACAGCAAAACCAGAGGATAAGTTGCAGCCTGCAGAACAATGGAGCTGGCTGGCTCACAGTCACAGAAGTATGAGCATGACATGATAATCAGCTGCATAACACAAGCCCATACCTTGAAGATACAGGCGGGAGTGGATAAGCCAAGCATGCCATTAATCCATCCATCTTCATTGATTGGTTGATCGCAGCAAGAGAGCACCCCAATTCCAAATTCCAAAAGCACATTATCTTATTCTTATCCTATCAATCCATTCTGCTAGACTGCCACAACTCGACTGTCATGGTCTAATGGACCTCCAAGACCCAGTCCCAGTCACTCCCGCGGGTGCCAGAAAGCAACACTCAACTTAACAGACAAAAGTTGGGGTTGGACGCATGCAGCTTTCCATGTCACGCGACAACCCAACCTTTAACAGCAAGCAAAGCATCCTCCTAACTCATTAGCCAGTGCAAACCATACATAGATCAGCACTCACCTGAGAACAGAATCATCTACTCAGATATTGGGGTCCCAATTTTTTCCACTTCCGTTTTGCATAACATAACACAAAGCTGGACCATATGTCCCTATCGGACGCACGCACCCAACCCGCAGGCTGACTCAAAACACCAACTCTTTTCGGGACCTTCATCCCACAACTGGCGTCCCTAACTAGAATGTCTTCGAAACCCTATCTAACTTAAGAACCAACGAACGGACTCAAATTAAATACTCTCACCAACAAGTCCACTTTCATTATTATCTTTTTGCCATTTGCAATCGCAAGCTCAAGTCTAAATAAAAGAGAAACTTGGATTTACAATTACTCGTTCCATGCTCACTGCTCATACATAAATAGCCGCCAAGTTAACAACTAATACTAGAAATAAAACAAAGCTACCAGGGAAGATTGATTCGATTGGCTGGTTCTTGAGTCAAAATCTTGGGAAAGGGAGACTGAACCTTGAGAGAAGATCTGCAGAGAGGGCAGCTAGAGTGATTGGAAAGCCACTTATCAACACACTCGCAATGGAAACTATGGTCGCAGCCGGGCAAAACCTTCAATTTCTCTCCGTCTTTGAACGTGCTCAGGCAAATACAGCACTCTGTTCCCTCCAATTTATAGGTGGCGTCCGAAGCCCTTTGGTGCAAAACTATAGGCAATTTCTTGATCGAAACCGGGTCGAGGCCCTGAGGCGGAGAAGGCGGCGGTGTTAGGCGTGCTCCGTTGGAATGGTACGTGGTAGGATGTTGGCCACGGTACCTCCAGATCCAGCGAGCATACAGGAAGAGAAGGGTCGCGAAAAGGATAATAGAGAACAGCCCGACCACGAAGAAAAATGTTCGGCCTCGGATTTCGAGATTTCGGTCATCCAGCTCCGTGTAGTGCCATGTAAAACCCTGGGAATCTTGGCTTGCCATTGTAGTTCTAGTCTATAACGGTGGACAGGTACGACGTCGGCGGAAATGGCGATGGCTGGCTGGGGCCATCAAGCCGCTCCAGAGGATCCAATGTGAACTCTCGGATGAACAATGACTCCCGCTGATCGTATGACTCATGAGTATTGAGTACTAGAAACTAAGCGTGAAATGTATGGCCACGTTTCGTATTAGTGTTCTTATTCGGATTTTTATGTAGCCCAAAAATTAAACGCCAAGCCTTTTAGTTTAAAAGATTATTTTATTAAAATTTAAATATTTAATATTCACTCCGAAAATATTTTTTAAGATTTAAATGTTTAAAAATATAAATATTTTTTAATCTTTTAATATATAATTATTATTTTTTAAAAGTGCGAATAAATCACTATATATTCAGTTTATGATAAAATAATTTATTAAATAAAAAAAATATAAAAAGATAGGATTAATTTAAAAACAAGTAGTTACTTTTATAAAGATAAAATTTAATTAAAAATATTTTATATTTTTAAAAGGAGAGAATATAAGTTAAATTTCACAAATTTATAACACAAATTTCATATATTTATAAGTTAATATTTTCATATTTAAAAAGTCAAATAAATTTGTAAAATTTACACGTCAATTTTCTTAAAATTTATAGGCATATTTTTTTAAAAAAAATACTTCTTTCGTTTAAAAATATAAGATATTTTTAATCAAATCTCACCTCCCAATAAAGTAATTACTTACTTTTAAATTAACTTTATTTTTCATATTCACCCCTACTAAACATCTTATAATAAATATAAAGTTATTATCAATAGGAATACTTTTTTTTAAAAAGAAGATAATAATTACATCTTAAAATGTTAAAAATATCTTATTTTTTAAAACATTTAATTTTTTAAAAAATACCGTACAAATATTTTAATAGTCATATGTCAATTCCTTAAATTTACAGGTCATCTCATATCTTGGAGAGGAACTTCTCTGTCTTTTGGTGGTGACTCTTGCTGCTGATAATCGTGTTTCTTCCGGCCCTTTTACTTTCTTTATTGCTAGTTTGGTGATCTTTTATCTTCTTTGGTTATTCTGGTTCTGCTGTGCTTTCTTTGAAACAACGCATCGGCCGGCATGTGGGGAGTCTCAGGATATTTTGTCAAAAACACTATTTTTTTAAGGTTATTGATTATCGTTTTTCTTCATGCTTCGAAGTTGCAATCCTTAATCAATATCAATTGGTAGCTTCGGCAGGTTATTCGGGTTGTTCATCAAAGGAAAAACTACTTTGTTATTTATTTTCAGCATGAAGCAGATTTAGCGGCTGTTTTGGATCGAGGAGTTTGGTTGCTTCATGGTTTTAATTTTGTTGCTCGTCCTTGGATATCCGATGTATATGCCGATTGCCAGAGTAACTTTTAACTCCTTTTCAGTTTGGATTTCTGTTTTTGGCATCCCTTTGGATTATTATACTGAATCTACTGCTCGGTTTCTTGGCAATCTTTTTGGAGTTTTCCTATAATTTGATCGTTCTAGTGCCTATAATCATTTTGGACTTCGTGTTAAGGTTTTATTGTCTGAATCTGCACCTGTTTTCTCAATTTAATGACTTAAGGTTGCGGAATGGTACTTTAGTGGATGCCTCATTAATGTTAGAACATGTTGGCCGCCTATGTTCTCGATGTTTCAGAGTGCGTCATATTGCTCGATATTGTATCAACGCTGTTGAATCTTCGGGTTCTACATTTGTTCGTGTTAGTGGATCTTGTTCGGTGAATTTTGTGTTTGATGGGTCCCGTTATGTAATCACTAATGAAGCCTATAATTCCGAGATCCAATTCAAGTCAGTTTGAAGATACAGATCCTTATAAGCCTTCGATTCATCAGCGTTCCACCTCTCCTTTTTCGGTTCAACGTGGCGATTTGAATGTTTCTTCCATGCAAGGGAAGACAGGTGTCAAATTGTATAGAGGCTATTGGTTGTTTCGTTGTCAAAAGTGGAATATATCAAATTCCACTTTAACCGACACAGATTTTTTTTTTTTTTTTGGACAAAGACTCAGATTTAATTCCAGTTAAAAGGACCAAGTTTTTTCAGGATCATTGCCAATTACAATCTTCACAAGTGTCAACGGCTTTTTCTTCTTCTTGCCACGTATCAATCGAACTACATCACCTTACATCAGTCGTAAATTTATCCGAGGCTTTCGTTGGTTTAACTTCATTTTCAACTTCTACTCCTTTCACCACGCCTTCTCCTGATTCACTTTTCGGTTTTACTTATACACCACGTTTTCAATGGTTCGATGGTTTTACAGCATTCTTTGAACCTACGGTTTCTTTCGTCTTTCTTGGGAGGCAATTGGTCATCAATATTGCCAACCTTCGTATGAATGCCGCGATACTTTTCGACAGTTTATTCAACATGCAGTCCACTCATCGACATCAGTTCTACCATCCACACCTGAGATTGGCTTTGTCAGTACAAGTCTTCTTGAAAAAGCCTCATCTACTCGCAAACGAAAGTTAGCTCTGTTTTATGCCTCTGAAACAGAGCATTCTCAACGCAGTGGATTTTTCGAGGTTTCCACCAAAAACCTCGGAAGCAGGGATGATACTCAGAGGAACCTCCGTGGACGCAGCTTTCGTGCAGGTCCAATCTTTGGTGCTGCGGCTTTTGGATAGTTTTCGGAGTCTGAGTTTTTGTCTTGTTTTTGCTTGTTGTTCGTTTTTGGTGCTGTTGGTTCCTGTGTTGCTAGTGTCGTCCCCTCATTACTGGTTTAAGGTCTATGCAGATGGCCTTTCAACATACTTAAAGGTTTTTCAGCTTGGGAATATCAAATCCTGCGGGATTCTTTTGTTTGAACTGATTCCCATTTTTTGGGTCCATCTACATCAGTTCTATTGTCAGCTCACAGTGCTTTCTAAATTCTTCTGATGGGTCAGTTTTTGAACTGGTTACTAATTGCCTTTCTGTGAGTGTTCTTTTCCGTCTTATGCAAGAGCTTCGACTTTTTTCTTTTTTTTTGGGGGGGGGGGGGGGGGGGGGGGTTGGGGTTATTTCGGTTTCTTGATAGAACAACCCTGGGGCTTTTGTCTTCGAACAAAGGCCCTTTTGTTTATACTCCCGATCATTTGCCTTTTAATCTACTTTGTAAATTATTTAATTAATAATAATATTTTATTTAAATAAAACATTTAAATTATTTTTAAAAAGTAAGTGAGAGAAATAAAAAAATAATATTATATAATTTATTTATTTTTTGAGGGTTACGTTTATAATTTTATTAAATTTTATTCTTTATATTTTTATTGTATTAGTATTGATGAAGTTAGTAAAAATAATTTATGAATGGGATTAGAGAGAATACTCATTTTTCCTGTATATATTTTACTTGTTGTCAAAAGACAAAAAAATTTGCCTCATATATTTACAAATTGCATGCAATTTTTGCATTAGTTCTTTAATGGTTGTTTTCATCCATCAACAGTCTGTAAGGTTGGATTCGGCTTTGCTCCTCTCATGCTCCGCTACACAACAGTAAAATTTGGATCCTTCAGGTTTAGGACTTCCTCGCTTAAATTAAAAAATAAGTAATTTTCAAATAACTTAAAAATTTTATAAAAAAATTATTTTATAGAGATTTTATAAAAAATATTAAATATTATTTTATGTAATAAAAAATTCATAATTGATCAGTTATTTTTAAATTTTACCTTTCTTGATTTCTGTTTTATAAAAATAATTTATCATATTATTTTAAATTTTATATGACATCTTTGCATATTCTTCCTTTTTAAAACATTCTTTCTTATTTATTATATTAGATTATTTTTTAAATCTGCTTAAAATAGCTTATTAAAATAATTAGAAATCTTTTTTTTATTTTGATTGTTTTCAAAAATTTAAACAAGCAATAAAATCTAATAAAAATATATTTTTTAAGAAAATAAGTATTTTTTATAAAATAAGCTGGAAAAATGGCCCTTAATCTAAATAATCCAGATTTAATATTTTTTAATTATGATAAAAAAATTTAATAGATCTAGTCACTAATTTGGATAAAAATATTCTAAACAATGTAGATTTAATATGAATGATTCAGATTTAATATTAAAAATTTTAAATTTTTATAAATTGACTATCAACACTTTGAATAACGCAGATATCTAATAAAAAATACTTTTTAAAGAATTACAAGTTAGATATTTTATATATAACCTATACTTGATTAGTCAATTTATAAAAATATATAAAAAATAAATATTAAATTTAGATTATTAATATTAAATATATAGACTGTTCAAATTGGTGATCAAATTTATTAATTTTTTTATAATTTTTTATTTTAATCAAAATAAAAATAAAATATTTAATATAAGACCTTTCATATTTATTCACATTTTGTGGCTGTGCATCAGAGCATGGAAGGAACGTGAGAGGAGCAAGGGGTAGGAAGAGCAAAGCCGAGTCCACCTAGGTTAGTCAACATTAGTCAAAGACAATGAGTTTAGGATTTAGATTATCACATTATCTTTCTCTCATTTTTTTTTTACTATGTACGTTTAATATTTTTTAATTAAATTTTATATTCAATAAAGTAATTACCTACTTTTAAACTAATCTATTTTTTTATACTTACTCCTATTAAATACCTATAATCAGTAGGGACATTTAAAAAAAAGATAATGATTACATTTTAAAAGATTAAAAATTAACATATAACTCTTTAAAAAATGTTTACATTTTTTAATGGAGGAAGTATTTTATTCTCATCATTGGATTAAAAATTCAACAATTGAGATTTAATCAACTAGACTTGTTTATGTTGATTGCAGTCTATAATTAGCTTACAGCTGTGAATTGCTCATATAATATTTTAACAATTTAAATCTATCTATTTATTTGTTTGTTTTTATTATAATAATTTTATAAAACATTAAATCTCAATGGTTTCATTTTTAATTGAAAGGTGAAGATGGGATAGAAAGACCAAAAGAAGAAAAAGGAAAATGAGAGGATTCATATTGGTGCACGTGACATTTGACAAGCAAGATCAATCAAACACGAGTTTGGAAGAATTTAAGAATATTGTGTAAAATTCATGGGATTTATTTATGAACAAATTTTTATATGCAAATTTTCCTTGGAAAAAGAGCATAAATCCTTAAGATTCATCTAATACGAATGAAAAAAGCTTGCTATAAAAATTAAGTAGAATGTTCCTTATATTTTATCCCAAGACTTCAATTTTGCGCGGAGCCAGACGAAACATGAAAGGCAGCTTGACGTAATGTGATTGTGGCTCAACTTACAACGGGCAGAAAAACAATCAATTATGGGAGACGAAAATTGTTAAAAAGGTGGAAAGGCCATTAATTAAATATCTGGAGCAGAACATGACATCCTGGAACGCCAGTGGGCTCTCATCTGAACTGACACCGTCGCACGCGAGGCCCAAGTCTCAGCCTACAACTTCTTAAACCGTTGTTAAAAACAAAACTTAAAGTACAAATTTATTTTTAAAGTTTTTTTTTTTTGATGAGGCATCTGTTTTTTTAAAAAATTTTATTGCACAGATGTACCCTGACATTTTGAAAATTGCACAAATGTGCCCTATTGTGATTGAGGCATCATTTTGACCGTTAAATAAGGCATTTTGACCTTGAATATCTTATGTGATCGCCACATTACTTGCCATGTATATTTTCACACAATCCTTATCATCCAGTTGCATTTAATTTTGTTTTTTGACCATTGCCTTGTTGGATTGGTTTGTGAAGACATACCTTTATAAAATGGCAAAAGTTAAGAAGCTCGATAAATCAATTGGAGATGAAGCTGGAGGAAGATGTTGACCAATAAGGACAGATACAGTGGTGGGTTAGGTTGAAGGCATAAGGAGCATGAAACAATGTTGATTGCCGATAGTAAAAGGAGGGCAATAATGTTACACCAAGGTCGTGAAACCCAATATGAAGGGGAGAGAAGGCTTTGCCACTATGAATTGTTTCGTCGATGGACATCATAGATGAAGGAGAACCCTAGATGATGATTTTATGGCTGGCCAAATTATGACCCAGCAAGCTTTGTGATACTTGACTGATCTTAGTGTATAGGTGGGCAAATTATAAGATTTTGTGGGTGCTTCTGTTGGCATAACTCTAAGATATAGTAGAGGTCAAAGGAGGTGATAAATGACTTTGCTAATTATGTGGATAGATTCACTGATAAAACTGTTCGTTTGAGAATGCAAGTAGAGGAAAGACAAACAAAATTGACATCTGTTGATGGAGAATGGAAGAAATAGATTAAGCTTGTTGCTCTTGTTATGTCTTATGTTCTTATTATTTTCTTTTTGTCCCCTTAAAATGTTGAATAGTAGCTATGTAATCTATGACAACTTCATTTGATTAAGATAAAGTTGTAAAACTTTTGGAGCTTGAACTTAGTAAATTATAATGCCTCTGTTATCAATTCCCTAAATTCAATATTCATAATTTTGATTATATTGTAAAGTTACTAGAATGACGTTAATTGAATGTGACAGTTGCTGTAATCAACACATGGGATCGAACTTAGGCTAACCCATTCATTCACAAAAGTCACGCGTGGATAGTGTGAGATGATAAACTTAAATACTGCACAGAAAATTCAAAAAGCACAACCTAATTGATATGTTTGGCTACACAAAAATAGATAAAGTGTAGCTACATAAACCATTACAAAATAAACAAGTTTGTAAAATAAAACTTCAAGGGGAGCCTAATTTCTAGATATTTTCTCCTCTAGTCCTCCTAGCCATATCCCTAATCCTTCTCTCCCTTTTTGTGAGTATGGAGCTAGTTGTTCAACTTAGCTCCCCCATCCATATTAGTCCTTATGCTCTAAATAGCAAGTCAGTAGGGTAGGAGACATTGACACCATCTCCAGCCAAGTGAATCCTCATACAACCCTTTGTATAAGCTTGTGAAGCTCCTGATCATGCAGATCATCTGATGTCCATCTCATTGGGAATTGGTCTTCTTGTCTTAGGGTTTGCATAGCGTTGCATATACTTAACAGATGTCTTTTTTTTTTTAATCACCATTTCAGAACTCATTTCAATCTCATGTGATGAAAACAATATGATTACTATTGGTGATTTATATTTGTTCCACAAAGCATAAAAATCTAGAGTCATATAAGACTTACATTATAGTCATGCTAGTATCTTCATTAATAAGAACACACATGCTTGATTGAGTTCTGGAATGGATTGGGCAAACCTACACCTTTTGTTACAGCAGACTTGGTTACTTGTTTAGGTTGAGAATGCATGTTGGACTGGGCTAGCCTCTTCATTTTCTTCTAGAAGAATTGTGTGGAAACATCAGTGGCAAGTGATGTGGTTGCCACATAGGATATGCAAGGTCAATATGCCCCATTTAACTATTAAACTGATGCCTTGATCACAACAAAGGCACATTTGTGCAGTTTTAAAAAGTCAGGCCACAATTGTGTCATTAAATACTTTAAAATACTGAATGCATTGCAAAAAAAAAAAAAAATCTCAAGGTAAATTCCACCTTACCGTGTTTGTTGCCCAAAAAACACAATTCAAATCAAGAAGAGTTAGTCAAATAGGTAATATTATTAAATTTTTTAAATTTATTCTTATTAAATATATAATTTTTATAAATATATACTCTCTTATGTATAATTTTCTTATCTTACTCATTAAAAACTGTGAAATGATAAATAAACAAGTAATTAATAATTATTTTTTATATAAAATGACTTATAAAAATCAATCTCTTTATCACGAGTCTCGACACGAAATTCTTGATAATTAGTAACTGAAAGATGGAGATATTAAACTTTAACCCACACGCGCAGCGCCCCACAATATCCAATTATCCACACGATACTTCCCCACTTTTTATATAGGATGACTATTCTTAAAATTCAAATGACAACGCTCATCGTACGATTCTACTTTCAAATCTCTACGAAGTCATTCAAAATCCTGCATCTGTTTTTTTGTTTTTTTGGAAAAAAATTATCTAACGTAGGCTGGAAATTACTTGTTTACTAGTCGCGGTTTGGATAAGATTATCTATGATTTAAGCTATTAAATGAAATTAAAAATTTTCAATATCAAGCCTCGGTTAATACTTTCTCCATTTAAAAATATAAATTATTTTTAATTAAATTTTATCCTTAATAAAATAATTATTTATTTTCAAATGAATTCTATATTTTCCTATTTACTTATTTAATAAGATATTTTAGCTCTAAAATAAATATAAAGTAATTTATTTAATAGAAATAATTTTGAGAAAAAGACAATAATTACATTTTAAAAAATTAAAAATGTCTTATATTTTTTAATATTTAATTTTTTAAAAAATATTTTATAATTTTAAATGAAGAGAGTAATTATAGACATGCATGCCACGCAGGATTGAAGTCGCCTCCCTTCTCACCGCATTAATCCCCCGTAAGAAAATGCGCCCTTGTAAAAAAATTGTATAACATTCGTTGTCCCCGAAAAATTGACACATCCACGCTTCATTCAAAATTCAAGGTCCCGGTCATTTGATGTAATCCGATATGATCCATCTTTATTTTGTGATGATAGTCATACCTCCATTGTATTGTTCTTCACTTACAAGCCACTCTTCAATGACTAGAAGAATGTATATCAGTGAAACTATTTATTTAAAATAAGGGACGAGGATTATTGAGGCAATTTGATATTAAATAAGGATTAAAATATTTTCAAACATTATTGCAGGATTAGTAGACTAATTTGAAAATAATTTTAGATGAAGAAAGACTATAATGCCTCTAATTTTTTTTAAATTTGTCAATTAAAGAATAGTTTCTTGTTAAATATAAATGAGTACTTATTAATCAATGAATGACTATTTGTTAAAATATAATCTACACTACTTATCCATTTTTACAGTCAAGTTCTTTCATATTCTTGAACTTATTAATTAATGAATGGTTATTTATTGAAACATGATTTGTAATTATCTATTCCCACAATCAAATTCTTTTAAATTTTTGAAATTGTCAATTAAAAATAGAAAGACAATTAAAAGTATTTTAGTCTTTTCTCATTTAAAATTATTTTCAAAACAGTTTTATGGTCTTACAGTGATGTTTTAAGATCTTTTGGTATTAAATACTCTTGATATGTAGTGGTTAAATGATACTTTCCCTTAAAATAATGATACCACCAATACTAGCCTATCAGGAAAAGAAAATAACGCATAGTGCTATCCCGTCTCCAGTAAGGAAACAAAATTATCCAACTTCTTTCTTGTATAACTGTAAATACAGCTAGACAAAATTCATTTTGTCAAACAATAATGTTTTCTCCAAAATTCGAACGATTCAATAATGTCAAACAATGCATTATGATTAGCCTTCTCGTTGTAAGTTTTGAAGTTTTTGGGGTTCAAAGCATAATTTGTTTTAAACATGCATGAAAAACATACATGTGTTCATTTTGAACGCATAATCAATCAGTTCTGTATGTATATATTGATCGCCATCGCATTACCTAGTAGCCATAATCAATAGTGAACAAAATCTAGCTTTTCTCTACCAAAATTTTCAGCACCAGTCCCTCTGTCCAGTCTTCCATGCGTAATCACATCACATAAATCTTCGCGAAATATATTATATTAACTTCATTATTCTTTCATCAATTATATATGAAACAAAGACCAAAATTGAGTCGAACGAAACTCAAAAATTACGATAAAAAAACTATCCCATTTTGACTGAGTAAGGGTCTCAACTAATTTAACGTACAATAACACGAATTGTCACCAAATAACTATAAAATGGAAAGCTCCTGCTGAAATTTGGATGAACTTCACATTGAAGATTATAATGGCAAGCGAGGGTGATGTCCCATGTGGCCTCAATTTCTCCAATTTAACTTGGAGCATACGAATATAGGAACCCTTCAGAGTTTAGAGCACACTTCTCTTTCGCTTTTAAACATTATTCATCCCTCGTCTCTTCAAGATTGAAATAAACCTCATAAAATCTTTAAATACAGCTCTAAGAAAACATACATGAATCCCCCATTCACCACCGAGAGAAGGGAGGGGGGGACTGCTCATATATAACCCCAAATAAAATCAGTAAGGCGGGATATGCGAATCCTTGATCGAATGATGATCCTGGAATCGTTAATTGATTCTATAAAAACTCCTCACTAATATAAGCAACCCTATAAATAACATACCTTGACCTCGAGTAGGCCCTTTTCTTTTAAGAAAACCTGCAAATATTTTTTAGCGAAAATTAAGTTGGACGATCTGGATAGTTGGCTTTACAGCACCTCCTTGGTTGCTTCTGATTTACATGACAAGCACCTTCATCAAACCATAACTTGGTCGCGACTTCTTCAGATGGACTCGGCCGCCGCCGCATGAAACATTATTATTCACTCTGGAATAATGTTAACTTCCACTCAAGTTATTCATCTTTAATGCATATAGATAGATATCATATATATGATAAGTACTTCTCCCTTCATTAGCTATATATCAGATCAATTAGAAATCAAAGAGGAAGGGATCATTATAGTAGTCCCATAGACTTGGTGGGTACTCTTCCTCATTCGTCAATGGCCACGGATCCGCAGGTGAAACGACAGTCTGTGCCTGCGAAGCACACAAACTTGACCCGACCGAACTCACCAGAGAACTAATATCATCGTGCATGCAATTCTGATGCTGCCGTTGATTCGGCAGATGCTGCTGCTGCTGTAGCTGATCCTGGTACGAGGTTGCTGTGTTGGAGCTGTCGACAATATTTCCATCGGATTCCAGGGACTGATACGGTTTCTGTGGAAGTTGCACCACTTGACGATGCTGTTGCACCAGATTATTCTCCGGGCACATCATTTGCGGGATATAATTAGCATCGTTAGGGTAAACCCCGCAGGGTAAGAAGCCCGACGTGGCGACGGAAGAAAAGGCGAGGCCAAGGCCAGAGGGGCGGGGAAGCAATGGGCGGAGGGTTTGAGAAGAGGAAGAGGCCCGAGAGGAGGAAGAGTGGGGAGAAGAGGCGGCGGAGGGTTGTAAATTGAGCTGAGCCCTAGAGCCGTAGAGGATAATAGCGGCGCGGTCGTAGGCTCGAGCGGCCTCCTCGGCGGTGGCGAAGGTGCCGAGCCACTTCCGGGTCCGCTTGCGAGGCTCTCGGATCTCAGCGACCCATTTGCCCCAGCTCCGTTGCCTGACGCCTCGGTACCTAAATTTGTTGTTGTCGGGACCACCTTTGCCTTTGCATTTGCGAGCAGAGTCGGTTTTGGTGTTATGAGGAGACGTTTGGCAGGGAGTGGCGGTGTCAACGGTGGCGGTATCGGTGGGCGTGGTTTCTCGGGGAGGGTGAAGCGCATGCTGAGGCGAGGAAGAAAGGGCGTCCATTGGAGGGTTAAAAAGATGGAGACCACTGAAGGTGCCTCGTTCAGTGTTGATGATTTTTTGACGGAGCAGCTTCTGGCGGCGAGTGAAGGTGTGAAAATGTCAGGCGTGTAAATGGTGGAATAGGGCGGTGGGAGTTGCAAATGTGGAATATTTATGGAGAGAGAAGGCAAGGGGATTGCTGTGCAGCGAAGAAACAGAGCAGCGCAGGTGCACAGTGGTTTCGGAACTTGGAATCATTACCCCGTTTCTTAAGTTACGACTGTTGGTTTCGTTTCTGCATCAATTCCCCCAGGCAACGCATATTAAAGTGATTACTTAAATTAATTCTCGCGACAACACTCCCGCGAAGGCTAGTAGTCCTCGATTTGAATACAGTCATCTTAGGATGGTCTTTCTTTCTAGTAGCAACAGATTACGGCCAGCGAGACATATTACAGTATTATGGCTACCTTGCATGTCACTAAATCACATTACTTGCTTCAATTAAGGAGGATTGGACAATTAATAACGAGAAGGTGAGCCAGTGACTGGCGTGTCAAAATGTAGACCACGATTCGATATAATATTTAGAGAGCTAGCTATATCTTATTAGATTGGTTTGGCCGCGGCAGCTCTATCCCAGTATGGCTTATAGAATCGAGATAGGTATCTACTTCTGATCAAGCGTGTGCGCTAGTTACTTCCTGTTGTTTTGGATAATCACTATCTCGGACGGACTGCTTGTGATCCGCGCTGAGAATCGAAGATCGTATCGATATCATATTGTTAACTAGATTTATACCTTTTTTGGATAATCTTGATCGAATTACGTCATATAATCTTGATGACAATGGCAATTTATCAACGACAAAAGCTCAAATTCAGAGGCGTACTTAGAAAGGGGGGGCAGTAAATTAAACTAAATGTCATGGACATATAATTAATCATCTTTATATCCTCTCCATCACTATATAGATATTTTTAATCAAATCATATATATCAATAAATATTTATTATTTAATTAAATTCACATAAAAACACAATGATTTTTTAATTTTAATTTATCTATAATAATATCGTAATTAATATTGTGATAGTGGTAGAGAAAATATATAATTATTAATTTTTTTTATTTTTTAAGGTAAGGATAAAATTATTTAATTATTTAAAAAATTTATTATTATTTTTTATATTTAATAATAAAATAAATTTTTAAAAAATATTTTATATATAAAGACGGGAGTATTATTTTAAATCTCGTGTACACCCCAAGAAAAGTTGGCCAGGTTTTCAATTAGGAATGGGAACGGATGCAGTGATTGCAGAGCACTGGGGCTACATGTACATCAATAAAGAACGAATCTGCCACGTGCCGAGTATGACGGAGATGCTGCGGCTCAAAAGGCCTGTAATGAATCGGGTTCCATCCAGACCATCGACTTTGAATTTGCCAAGAAATTGTTTTGTGAGAAATTTTATTTTTGCTGCAGTTGTCCTTATACTGCATTTATTGGAAGAATATCAATGAAAACCATTTAATCAAACTTATTTTAAATTAAAACTCTTAAATTTTTAAAATATCACTATAATTTAAGAATCTTGATTTGATATTAAATGTCTGAGAAAAATAACAAAATTACCTTTAATTTAAATTAATATTAAAATTTTTTTATTTTACTTGTTAATTGTCCTTTTTTATTTGTTCATTCACTCACGTAATATTATTAATTGTCTTATTTTACTTGATTGCATTCTATGTGGTTAAATTATCTTAAGACAACTTATTAATTTCTATATTATATATTATTCATTTATTTATAAACTATTTTCATTGTCTCACTTCACTTGTTTATTGGCCTAAGTACTTTTACTTGATTTTATTTTCTGTGTTTAAATCATCTTAATGTGACTTATTTGTTTCTATATTATACGTCGTGGATTAACTTATGAAATGTTGTTCATTGCTTTATTTCACTTATTTATTGTCAAATTTCACTTGAAATGAACAAGTTGATAATTAATAATATTTTATAAGTAAATGAATAAGTAAAGTATGACAGTTTTGATATTAATTTAAATAAAAAATAATTTTATAATTTCTCTCAAAAATTTAATATTAAATCAAAACTTTTAAACTGTAGTGATATTTTAAAAATTTAGAGGCTTTAATTTAAAATAAGGCTGATTAAGATGTCTTTATTGATATTTTTTTTTGCTTTTATTTATCCGTGGGGAGCAATGAATCTTGTAATCTAAAAAAAAAAAATCGAAATATACATGCAGACACCCTAAATCCAATAATAATAAACACCGGTGTTTTTACAGATAACGTGATTCGAATGACAAAATGCAAGGGGCGTATGCATGGCCAGTTTGTGCTGAAGAGTTTAGACGTTATGAATGGAATAACAAAGACTTTTTAAAATACATCAAATTATTATGAATTAGGGTGCACTTTTCCGGGCATCCTATAGTGAGATATTTTTTTTAATTATTTTTTAAATGAACAAAAATTTTCTTGTGTTAACGGAAAAATGGCCTAAGAAAAGAAGGTACCCAATGTTTCTTGAAGTGAAAAGAATTCAAGATATTTAATGCAATGTTTTTAGAATCAGACCGGACATTGAACCGAAAAATTCAGCGGTTCACGGTTCGCATAGTTCAACCGGATTAGACCAAAGGTTCAACCGGTGATGTAATAATTAAATTAAAAAAATTATATATGTATATAATAATTTAAATATAAGAAACATATATGAAATTGCTATTTAATTTAAAAAAATTAAATATTTTAAGTTTATCATGACTTAACTAGCCACATGATGCAATATAATATTAAATGATTAAAAAAATTAGTCAATTTTTTTAACAAAATTTGATAAAAATAAAAAAAAATTAACAGTCCAGTTTTTGAAAACCGGATCCTGTTACTTGTCCGGCCGCTGGTTCGAAACGGCTCAACCCAGCTCAAACCCTAAAATGACTTTTTCTTATGAATCAGACCGATCCGACTAGCCAGTTTGGTTTTAAAAACACTGGTCCAATGCTCTTAAAAAAAAGAATATGTTACGTTAATAGAAAATAATTTAAGAAAGCATTAGTATCAAAGCACACGCCATGTTAATAAAAAATGATAAAGTTAATGGATTATTAATTAAGGAAGATTTTTGCTTTTTTAAAAAATGTTTTAAGGAAAGAAATGTTTTATTTATTAATATAGGATGCCAAGCATTCTCCTGAGGAAAGTAAGGGAAAAAATTTGCTATCTCACTTATTAATATTATTGCAGGCAGGGAGATAAAGAAAAAAGGAGCGAGATTGCAAAGGGTTAGAGGGGGGAAAAGGAAGAAAGGTGAAGCAGAAAGAGAGGGAGCATGTGAAGTACTGACGGTGGCATTTGTGATTGAAAGTATAATACAGAGATGGAGACCCGCATCCCATACTTCTTTGATCCCCCTGCTATTGGTATAATTTAGGAGTCCCGACCTAAGCCCAGTCTTCCTCATTTTTCTGGGCCTGTATCTGGGTCAGCCCAAATATTTTCAAAGCAATGGGAAACAATATGGACCAGGGAGCCTAATATAAGCACTTGTAGCATGAGGTTCTAACGACTTCTGAGAAAATAATATAAATATACAGCTATATTTCTATGAATAATAAATAATTCGTTCAAGATTGGTAGGATTCGAGTGCCAGCAATTGCGCTATTTGGCTACGATCTACATTCTTAAATTTAATTCTTAAGTCAATAGGATTCTGAACACGTTTTTTTGAAGAGAAATACTCATCTGTAGATAATTTAATCAAACATATCATTGAATATTATGGACGTCGATCGTGGAAATATCGTAGGGAGCTATAGAATAATAGAGTAGATGAGTATAAAATCAATGAACAACCTAACCATTATTTAGTCTGTTTATACATGTCATAGATGAGATTAAATTTGATTTGAGCACATGACACGATCTTGACAAAAAAGATTTGTCTTGGATAAGCTTTGGCAATTGATGCCAACACGACAAGAGTTAGAAAGATGCATGGAGAAAATATATATTATGCTATAGATCGCTAAATCAGCGTGAACTCAAAGGATATATCTGTCAAGGATATGTGTGGATGATTGGATCGCACTCAAAAGAATTTGAACGACCAATATTGTCAGGACGCTTAATCTTTGCGTGTTTATCTCCTGCATGGTAGCCGCCGTTGAGCAAATTATGTTTGTCAACCCAACACATTACGGCCAAGCGCATAACAAATTCTTCCAACGGATGTCAAAATTATTACTTGACCCTCTTAAGCTAAAATTTCGTCAGCCGGATTGCACATGAATGGCCAAAAGTCAGATCGCTGTTATTCTGTCCTTTTCCAAAAACGACGATAAAAAATAAAAAAAGAAAAGAAAATTAGACGGGGCTGGTGGATGATCAAATTGAATGATTTGGTACCATCTCGGTCATGCTGCATCCAACTTTATATTTTAACTACGGAGCTTGAAATCAAATCAAATTAGAAGAAGAAGACTGTTTAATTTTGTATATTTTAAATACAACTATGTTTCACGATAACTATTTATCGTCAAATATAATACTTAAATTAATTTTTGCATTTGCAAATATTGTATATAATATATATGATGCAAAATTTATGCAAAACAATCAAATTATATAGTAAATTATAGTTGACCGAAACCAACTCGGGTCTGATTCGGGAAAACAGAAGTGACAGCAAGACATGCGGAGGGAAAACGGGGATGCTGCATGCCCCTATCCTGAAGGTGATACAGCTGTTAATAGCGTGGAGAACGAAACGCTCAAATCAGGAGCAGCCCATCTGAACTATTTTATTAGTCACTTTTTAAAAAAATAAAATAATTTATTTTTTAAATTATTAAATTAATAACAATATTTTATTTCAAGTAAAATATTAAAATTATTTTTTAAAAATAAGGAAAGAACAGAAAACAATATTATTTTATTTATGTATTTTTTTAAAATTATTAACAATTATTTTTATAATTTTTTATATTTTTATTATATGTATATTGATAGAAATAATTTATAAATAAAATAGAAGGGAGTATAAAACAATTAATAAGTGGACCATGTTCTTCTAGCTAGATAATGTATAATTTGTGAACGACGTCCATCAATCCGTCCTGTCTTGAGATTGGTTCTGCCTTTCTCCTGTCTGAAAAGACGTGATGGAGGGACGCAGAAGGACAAGAGGAGACAAACTAAAGGAAGGAAGGAAGAGCACCGAGCTGTAATCTGCGAATTCACCCATGAACAGCAAGCTGGTCATTAATCGCATCAAAATGGTCCGGATTAGACCCTTATCTCAAAACACTTTTAGGGGCATGTATGCATGTCTTTCGAGAGAGCCCTGCACCTGAACGTCTCTGTTCAGATACACGTGTTCAAATATGGCGGTGCGGTTGAGAGAGGTGAAACATGGAGTGGAAGAGAATCTGGAGGGGAATTAATTGGGCGGTGGGAAGTTGGGGGAAGTGAGTAGGGCATCTGGGGACTGCGTTACTGTCAGTGTCATCGGTAAATTGGCTGCACATGAATCCAAAGACTCTGGCATGCACTTTCACTTGCCAGCACCCACATAAACTGCAGATGTAACGCACCTTCGCTGTCTCCTTCAAAATAGTATCTCCCCTTTAAATAAATCAAATTCGTTTGTTTTACACTGCTACGTCGTGTGCATTATTCATTCACTCCTCTGGGGCTGTCCAAAAGCCCCATGTCACCAATTATATATCATATATCATATACAATATGTTGAAAGGTCTCGCCAAGTCAATAGATGTTGACAATTGAAATTTAAGTTGCCTGAAACTTCATTTCGCCAGTTAATTAAGAGTATAATTATTGGGACCGACAAATTAAATGAAAAATATTTCAAATATATGTCTGGACAAGAGAATGGATCGGCAGAAAAGAAAAGGCTGCATACAAACAAACTAGATGTCGAGAGGCAGATCGGCTGGTTCAAATTTGGCAGCAAGCAGCGGGTTTGAGATCATCAAATGAGTGCGCGCCTTGCCTCCGCATTAATTGGCCGGAGATCTCATTGAATCTCAATCCACATCTTGAGGAGGAATAATAGCCCTATTTGGTACACAGCATTAGTAAGTAAAGATTGGGATTCGGATTGAATTAGAGTAATTTCACCTTTAACATATTTGATAGGAAGCATTTTTCAATATTTGAGATTGCTAAATCCCACTTAGGTGGAAATATTGAGACCCACCACCCCCCATAATATTATTCAATCCTGCCAAAATTAAGCCTGAGATTGATATTGTTTAGATAAAAATGTCTTTCTAATCTCTCTCATTTATCATCTACGACTACTCTCCACTTCTTCATTTCTGTCACAAGTCATTCATCGCAAGTCGTTTTCATTGCCATCTGTCATTCCAGTCACATCTTTCGTCACAAGTTGTCTCTGTCAAAAGTTGTTCCCATCGCCATCTCTATTGCAAGTCATTCCTATTGCCATCTCTGTCGCAAGTCATCTCTCCTTCCAGATCGCATCTCACTTGCTTTCATTTGCTATTATTTTTCTAGATCACATTGGATTGTCATCTCTCCTTCCAGATCGCATCTCACTTGCTTTCATTTGCTATTATTTTTCTAGATCACATTGGATTGAAGCAACACGAGAGTGAGAAAATGGATAGCTTACTGTGAATTAAACTGGACAGTTAAAGGCGTCATGTGTGGAGCTTGATTGGAGAGTAGAGGCAGTAGCCTCTCGGCGCCATCACGCTCACAATTTGAAAAAAGATGAAGAAGGGTTCATCAAAGTTAGGGTTGCTTTTTTATTAAAAAAAATTTTAAAATATTATCATCTTTTTATAATTTATGTTTAATTATAAAATATAATAAAAAAAGTATTTTTTATAAATATTACCTCATATTAAATATAATTTTAAAATCTTATTTTCATTATTATTTCTCTCAATCTGAGTCATAATTTTAATTTTTTAAATTAAAACTTACATACCAAACAGGGTCAAAGGGTAATTGTGTATTTTTTAAAAAATTCCAGCCAAACAGAATATATATATATATATATATATATATAGGTATGTATGTATGTATGTATAAAGAGGAACCGATGACGACGTTTACGCTGGCTATAGTAGCCGTTGCTTGCATTAATGTTTCTGCATTTAATTATTCATCGTGTTCAAAAGAGACAAAATCCCCTCATCAGCCTAGGCCAAAATTCTGGGGACTAGGGCACCCTTTTTTTTTTACTGTGCCACAAATCTGGGCGACGATATTCCTCACAAAGTGACACAAGGATTACTCTATGCGCGGATATCATCTATCCTTGCTCGTGGAGGCATCCGCCTATTGTCCATCCAAAGTCCCTTTCATTATTTCGTTTCATTTTTCCATCCACGCTAAAATATCCCTTGTATATAATATGCAGTGCGCTGTGTGATTCTTTTTCTGGGTATTTATTTATGCATGCTTATCACCTCCGATTTAATTTATATGACATTTTTAAAAAATTTATTTAATATTACTTATCAATTATAGTACGACTTTTTAAATAATATTTAAAAAATATTTTTAAAATTGAAAGAAAAATTTATATAATATTAGTTTTTTGAATTTGTTATGTGAGGATATATTGAAAATTTTATACATTTTTTTCTTTCCATTAATATTGAAGATATTAGTAAAAATAATTTATAAAGAGTATCAGAAGAGTATAAAAATTAAATTTTCAGTTACTATATTATTATGCGATGCATGCATTTCGAAAAGAGACCTCATAGATTTCGCCTCGGGAGCAATAAAATTTTGGAACTTAATAATAAATTTGAATCTGACCATATATTCCTCAATTCACTTGTTTTACATGGTTACGTATTTTCGGACTTGATGCGATTTATATAAAGGTTGAAATATATTTTTAATTCTTTAATTTTATACTACATTTTATTTTGATCCCTTAATTTTATAAAATACTATCCCTTAATCCTAAAATTATTATTTTTATTTCAACAATTTTTTACATTGAATATATTGACAAAACATTTTTATATGTTGATATATTAAGTTTAATTTTTTTAAAATAACCCAATTGACATAAAAAAATATTTGAAAGTAAAATTAAAAGATTAAAGGATTAAAAAATACTTTATAAAATTAAAAAATTAAATTAACACTTTATATAAAGTTAGAGGAGTTAAAATATGTTTTAGCTCATATATATATATATATATATATTATTGAGAAATTTTGTGATTTGCTCGAGTCGAAAAGAAATTGAGCGACAATATTATTAATATCTAACCTGAAAATTACAGGTAAGTCGCAGACATGTAAGAGCTGATCGGTATAGTATTGCACGCATTTTGTTGTTTATGCGAACGATGACATATCCTGCTACTATACTGTAGTCTTCTTTTACTGTTTTTTTTGTCTATGTTCTTAATGCTGAAGGAACCATGACTAATTTACAGTTCAATGTCATACAAAGAAGGTTGTGTGTATCCATGAATGTATGAATAAATTTAACGAGGTGTGGATGGAGCGGAGAGATAATAATTTTTTTTTTGGGAGACATAATAAATTTAAAGGGAAGGTGGGATTCCCCTTGCGTTTAATTTCAACTGTAGCGCTGATTGAATGAAGAACAATCATGTCATGAGAATTAATTATGGATCTTTGAAAACGTTTAAAAATTATCTAGTTATGCGATATTGGGACAAGCATTGCTAACGAAGTAATCAAGGAACGGATATTAGTTATGGAGTGGTTTTACCTGGTCTTCATTTTCTGGCCCCTTTACAACGCAGACACGTTTGGATTTGGATATATATTGAGCATGGTTTAATTTCCAATATGGAGAAGAGAAGCAGCAATGGAATATTTGAATCACTGGAATATCTGGAAGGAAAGTGAGAAGAAAAAGATAAAAACCACCAAACACAGGACCCAACCCAAATGGTATGTCTGGATATCATGTGGATACATATTACTCCAACTAGATATCACAAAACAATAAGCCAATGCATTTTACCTTTTGCATTTTAAATCTTGCTAATGGCCTGAAGTCGCTGGAGAGGTATATATATCACGCAACCAAAAAAAGCAACCACGTGGATGAGCTGCTGGGTACGTAGAAATAGGGGGAGTGATAGCTCTCACTGATCACTCTCCCCTGGACAGACAGAAAGCAAAGCTTGTTTTTATTATATTTTGTTTTGATGTTCATTTTTCTCTAAAGCCGATGCCCGCAGAATCTTGGCACAAATCTTTCACTGTTACCGTACAAATTTGGGTTTTGGGGGGGGCGGGTCCCTTCATTCCTTCTTAAAAAGCTCGCCCCGCCAACACACACCCACAAAGCCATCTGCACCACATCACTAGCTGCCGCTTCCTTCTAAATTAATTTTCCTGCAAATTCATAGCCTTCGTTCAGCAGAGCACATGGGAAGCTCGGTGCGGGTCCAAGCAGCCGTCGTCATAACTCCTTCTGATCCAACTCCATCTTGTGTTCTCGCCCTCTCCGCTCTCGACTCTCAACTCTTCCTTCGTTTCACTATAGAGTACCTCTTGATCTACAGATCCTGCCCTGGCCTGGACCGCGGGGCCACCTCGGCTCGACTCCAAGCCGCATTAGCTCAAGCTTTGGTTCCGTACTACCCGTTTGCCGGGAGGGTCAGGCCAAGCCTCGGTGGTTCCGGCCTCGAGGTCGTGTGCAGAGCCCAGGGTGCGTCGTTCATTGAGGCCTTTTCTGACCGTTACAAAGCCAGCGACTTCTATAAAGCCCCCAAAACGGTTACTTCCTGGAGAAAACTCTTGTCCCTCTACACGGCTGATGTTCTCAAAGGATCACCGCCGCTAGTGGTTCAGCTCACGTGGCTCAACGACGGAGCCGCGGCAGTCGGTGTGGGGATCAATCATTGTGTTTGCGACGGTATCGGCAGCGCCGAGTTTCTCAATTGTTTCGCTGAGTTGGCTTCTGGGAAATGCCCGGCACTCCGGCCGACACCCCTTTGGAACCGTCACCTTCTCAACCCATCGCACGGGAGTCCCGGTCGGGCCAGCCGGACAATCCTCCCCGAGTTCACCCGGGTACCCGATCTGTGCGACTTCGTGACGCGGGTTTCCAGCGATCTCAAACCAACCTCTATCATATTCGACAAAAGACGCCTGAACGAGCTCAAGAACGTGGCTTGGTCGATGAGTCCACTCAGCGAGTCTTCCTACACGTCCTTCGAGGTCCTGGCGGCTCATGTATGGAGAAGCTGGGCTAGAGCTTTGGCTTTTCCTTCGAACCAAATCCTAAAGCTGCTCTTCAGCATCAACGTGCGGAACCGGGTGAAGCCGGGCATGCCCCAAGGGTACTACGGGAACGCGTTCGTGTTAGGATGCGCCCAGAGCAGCGCGAGGGAGCTGGTGCACATGGGTCTGGGGTACGGGTCGGGTCTGGTGAGGAGGGCAAAGGAGAGAGTGGACAACGAATACGTGAGGGAGGTGGTGGAGCAGGTGTTCGAGTCGAGGGCGAGTCCGGACTTGGTGGGGGTGCTGATCGTGTCCCAGTGGTCAAGGCTGGGCTTGGAAAGGGTTGACTTCGGGGTGGGAAAGCCAGTCCATGTGGGACCCATATGCTGCGATCGGTATTGTCTGTTTTTGCCGGTGAATGATGAGAGGGATGCTGTGAAGGTCATGGTGGCTGTCCCTACCTCTGCCGTTGACCAGTACCAATATTTCCTCAGAGCTTCTCATTTATGAGTTTGCTTCTCGTCTGTTGACTTTTTTCTGCTCAGCTGTCAATTTAGTTATCTATTAATTAATCCAATCGCCTTCTCCCTGTTATGAGACAGATTTTAAGGGGGAAAAAAGACTTTGTTTATTATAACTCACTTAAAAAAATATTAATTAATTTTTTTACATTATATCTATTTAAAATTATTAATTATTAACTATGAGAAATAATATAATGGTCAAGAGAGGTGCATGTATGCCCACAATGTAATATAATATGATTTATTCCTTTTCTTATAAATGTAATGTATTTTTAACTGAATCTTAACCTTAATAAAGTAGTTATTTATTTTTAAATTAATTTTATTTTTTATATTTATTTTTATTAAACACTTTATAATAACTATAAAATTACTATCAATAAGATTATTTTTGAAAAATAGTCAATAATTACTTTAAACACTTAACTCCTTAAAAAATATTTGAGAGAGTATTTTTTTTTTGCAATAACACATACTTTAAAATATGGGTAAAATTGAAATTTTATTTTATTTTAGGATAAAATTAACTACTTAACTATTTTTCTTAAGTTTGGATGGGGTGGTTAGAGGTGGTTTATAATATATCTGACTTAATAGCCTCTTCTTAGTTCCATCTCCACGTACTTAATAGCAAATAATAAAAAAAATAATCACCCTCATTTAATTTAATTTGTTTTGTCTCACACTCGAAGTCAATTATTAGTTGGTTTTCACGATGCTGTTGGACGACGCTGTTTTTCCTTTTTATTTCTAAAGAAATGTTTGCATAAAATTACTATAAAAAAAAAAAATCGAGTCAAGCGTGGCAAGACTTAACTATCAAAGGATTGCGTTGGTAACAGTCTAACAGAGAAATTCATTATCCAAGGAGACGATAGTCAGTAGATATCCCGTGCTTGTGAAACAAATGAAGCTTTTCATTCGTCAAGGTTGAATATCATGTTATCTCTGCTAGGGTCGCACGTATAGCTTAATTGACAATAAATAGCCAACAAATTTCCTTTTCTTTTCTGTTCCTTTTTTTTTCCCCAAAACGACTTGCTTGAATATATAATTCAACACCCGTTCTCCTCTCCCTGTCCTTAAATCCTCTGATCATTCTTCGCAAAGCATCCCTAAATGTAGATTAGAGAAAGCTTGTTTTATTTTTATGGCTTAAAATAATGTGATGTTGGAAAAGACATTGACGATCACGATGAGCATGTGTTCTCAGAGCCTATTAAAAGATATCTTTTAGAAGTATTTTTTTTAATTCTTAATATAAGATACATGTATTATGATATATTAATTATATTGTTCTAATATAACTCTTACTTAAATCCATTAACCATGATAGAGACAAAATTAATAATCCAACTATTTTTTTTAATGAGGTAGTTAAAGGTACTGTACAATAAAGATCGAGGTGTATATACAGGCATCTTGCCATCACAATACAAGTGTTTAATGTGAGCAAATGTTTAATCTCCATATATAAATGATATTGGATTGAATAAAAAAATTCGATCGCTGATTTTATTTCGTATATGATGATTATTGAACATATAAAAATCTTATCTGCATGGTGCCTGTAATTAATATAGTCATTTCACGTGCAGTTTTAATAAATTGTGAGGAAATATAGTTATATATCCTTACACTAAATCCAACTATCCAGGTTTTTGATAAGGATAGATGCTTGATCTTGAAAAGTATTATAGAATGCGTCTAAAAGAAAACAATGTCGATCTATAATAGTGTGTTAAACGATTAATCTAATGTAGTAAACCTTCAACTTGCGCTGAACTAAAGTTTCAACATGAGCAGATGAATCTAAAACTGAATTGATTATGAATGGAAATTAAAAACTAATTAATCTCAATGACATGGATAAATTTCAACTAGAAACGGTAGATTTTGGAGGCAAAAATTTAAGTTTCAGCTGAACCTAGCTTGACAATCATAAATTAGCTAGTATGTTATGCAAAACATTTTTTTCAATGGGCTATTTTTATTTTTATTTTATTCTAGGATAATTCATTTTCTTTATTTTAGAGTTATTTCAGTGGAGTCAAATGTTAAATTCATCACAAAAATTAATGAAAAATTACCTGGCTAAAAACGTATGATTGCCAAAGACGTGCAATTACATAACTATAACTAGCTAGCTCTGCACATTTCGACTCTTTTTTATTTATCGGGCGTGTGAGAAAGAGAATTTAAATTGAAGTGGCTTATCTATTGCGCATCTAAATAAGAAGAGCAGGATGCGTGCAAGTTGCAACGTGGGATTTGAAGAACAAGAGTACAAGTCACTTATATTGAAAATTATTTCGAAATAACATATAACAATCGAACGACCACTTATTTGCCCGATTATAATGCATTATCGTATTGGTTTGATTGAGTAAAAGTCAATATACTGTACGAATGATTAAGGACACATCGACTATTCTTTTATATTACACTTGGCTTCCTAATTGCTGTTTCTTCCCCTTCGTAGTCTCTCCTTTTCTTTCTCTCTCTGTTTTTTCTTCACTTTCCTAATCTTTACTTTTCATTCATTCCATAATTTTAAAAAATTATTTAATAAAATGATAATGAATGGTGAAAATTTAATAAGTGAAGAAAAAAGGAAAGACCCTCCTTCCCTCGCGTTCACTCTCTTGTCTTTCTTTCTTTCTTTCTTTGTCATTAGAGAGCCTTTTAGAGTTCCATGTGATGTCACACTCAATGATCCTCTAGGTGCCTTAAAAATGCGACATATGATTTTCTTCAGGAAAAAAAGAAAGAAAAAACAACAAAAAGGAAATAATTAACTGACAATTCTCTTCCCAGCTCATCATTGTGTTAATAACTTATTGTGTCCTCAATTATTTTCTATTCATTTGAAAGTGAACTCGAGCTGGTAGTTAGCTTGGGTCACAAATATAGGTAGAATCGTGTGCAATAATTATAAAACAAAATGTTATGAAAAACGTTGGAGTGTAATATGGAGAATGGAAATTTTTTTTTGGTCTGGACTGAACTGATTTTTTTTAAAAAAAAAATGTGAAGTTTCAAACTTGTAGATAAAGAAAAATTGTACCTCCCATTTAAACCAAATATTACTCATCCGAATGGCCAGCTAGTAGAACTCGCTGTTGGGCAAATTCTATTAAAAACATTCATATAATAAAATTCCCACAAACTAGAGAAATACAACGGAAAACTTAAGATTGCCACTCGCTATTGCAAAATGATTTGTTACAGAGTTTTAATTTCACCATAATTATTAGAGGGGAGGCTAGCGTTGTGGAAATTGTGCATGTATTCCTTCGAATCCTAGAAAGCTCAAAGTAGGAAGTTTAATTAAGAGGCCCAAACTTAATTGGACCCAACACCCATGAAAACGGATCCGACTCTTTTTTTTGACCGGGTTCCTTCTTCTCCTCCAGCCACTGTGAGCCATAGATCTAGAGGACACTGCCGGCGACCAACTGCAGTGAACGACGACATTGGCAACCTGGTGAGCAGCAAGGGATGGAGCACGATAGTGATGCTGTGAACCTTTACAACACTGGCTCCCAACGACGATGTGGCAATTGTCGTCGACGGTCTTGAACCTCTTTTCGGCGATGGCACGCCAAAAAAAAAAAAAACTACAAAACGTATATGACGCCGGCGACTTGCAGAACCTTTTGCAGCAACGTCGCTTTCCTGTGTCTTCGACGACAGATGCCCCAATAGCTTGTCTCAAGCGACAGTACAGCGACCACGAAGAAGATGCAGGGAAGGAGGAGAGAATAATGAATGCAATAATAATGAATCAAATTTTACAGGGAGAATGATATTAAAGTCACACTTAAAAAAATTAATTATTATAAAGTTTATTGACAACTGAACTAAACTGCATTGACAACTGACAATTGGTTCAGTTATCAATAGACCTTGTAATAATTAATTCCCTTGTGTGAGACCTAACTGTAATTCTCCCAATTTTATATTTGATCACAACACTCCCTCAATATCATGATACACATATGAGTATGTTTAAATTTTATATCCATACTCATCTTCAATGACAAGGATATAAGGAGAACTATTAACACATGAGCATGAATTTCTATCGATATATCATTATACGCATAAAAATAATTAAGATATATAAATTAATATTTGTAATCAGGTTTTGATATTACGTGTTAACTTTAATATATCAATTCATATAAATAAATAAGATTTAAACAAAGTAATATGTATGTCTAAAAAATTTATAACTGATTGTGATAACTCAATTATCTCGAATGTAGGTAAACACACAACCTGTTAGACCTCTGTAGTTTTTCAGTGAATGTAAAAATAATTGAGAGAATGAGAAAAAGAGTCGTGTGTATTAGTTATCAACTGACTGCATTATATGAATCACATTAAATAACCGTCTCAATAATTAATTAATTAATTAATAAAATCTCACGTTATTCTTAATTCAATCAATTATGATATAGGAAATAATTGATAGTTACAAGGTTATAGATTAGGGTCCTTCTGTTGGGCTTATTTGTGTGGTTTACCTATCACAATCTACACAAAATCATAAAAATCAAATTTTTTTAAATTTAATTAATTAGTGCACATTCATAATATTTATAAATATTCTAGCCGTTTTTGTTGTAGAGATTTTAGTCTCACCTCAACTAAAAAGCACAAGAGAAATGATTAGAAGAGAATAGAAAAATAGATATAGAGGGAATCTTTTGCCTAATATGTAGGCACAGTGGAAGGGCTGTCACTAGTTTGAGCACCTTCTAGAGTGTAACAATTTTACCATATGTTAATTTAGTCTACAAGCCTCTATTTATAACTCACCATCATAGTTATCTTATTACTTAACTAGACTGAGTAAATTCCTGAACCTAGATACAATCAGTTAATTGGAGCCACATTTAGGATATTTTCATTATTTTGTTATCCTTAATGGTGTCTCATGACTCAATGATATTTAAAATTGGGATATCAAATTTAAAACAATTTCAATATATAATATAATACAATATAAAATATCACACACTTGTTACTGGATGTTAAAACACACACATATTGCCATGATTATTTTCTTTGAGAGATGCGTGATGGAGATTTTGGTTCGTTCCATTGGATTCATCCAATAGGTTTTTCTTGCTTCAACTTCTCATTGTTTTCAGGGTGTTGGTTTTTTTTTGGGGGGGGGGGGGGGGGAACCTTTGCATACCTAGCATTGGGCTCAGCTTTGGTTAGCCCATGTCTGAGCAGCGGATTTTGCTAATTAAAATTAAACCTCAACGAGGGGAAAAACAACTAGCCAAGACAGGAGGTTGGAGGGTAGAAGTTGTACATCTGCAGATGCTATACACTTAAGTTGATATATAATTTTTTTTTGGGTCAAAGAGATCTTAATGCTATAATAACATAATTTATAAACATTATATGTATATTTAATTGTGAGACGATTTAAGCTTCATGTGTCTGGTATATATGCTGCAATACTCAAGAGTTTCTCACTTAACTATAAATATGGATTGTAGCAGCTACCAGACTTAGTTGATTGAGAGAGTTTTGATGCCCATAAATTCTGCCAAAACAAAAGCTAAGGAGCCGTTTGATTGTTGGAAAGAAAGAGAATGGGAATGGATAAAATTAGTGGGCCGAGCGGGAAAACGGGCCCATGGTGCAAAACAGGCTGGGTTAGCCCCCCTTGCTCCTCTTCCTTCAAAGGGACGGGGTTGTGTTTTGTTTAGTTCTTTTGTACCTTGCCCTCGCCAACGTGAATTTCTCCCTTCTGCGCGCACTCTGGCACACAATACATATATGCCCTGCCCTGCTCTTCTCTTCTACCCAAGTATTTATTCCCCCTTCTTGTTTATAACTGTGATTGACAATCTGGGGCATCTCTTTTTTGCTCGCAAAGGGTTCCGTAAGTTGTAACTAGGCTTTAAATCAAAACTGGCAAGTTACCCCACATGGGTTTATGAAATATATTGAAAGGTGAGTCCCCTGTGATATTAGCACCCACTAATGTCGATTCCATTGTTAGTGAAGACCAAAGATTCTTAATTACTATTAGGAACAATTAATGAAGCAGAACGCACATTCTGAAATCCAAATGTGACTTGAATTATGTTTGTCAAGCCGAGATTACTCTGACACTTAGGAGAATAGCTTTGTGTTTGCAATTACAAATATGGTATTAAAGAAAAGTTATAAAGATTTCGCCTGACGTTGGTTTTATTATTCAACATTGAAGTGTTTTGATGTTTCTTTTAAAAGGTTTGGTACGAGACAGAAAATAAATCAGTTTTGGTTTTAGGTATCCTGAAGTCATGATCTTTGAAGCAAGGGCAAGGTTCAATGTTCATACAACGACAAATGGAATAAAAACAATTGTGATGATGCTGGACTGTGTTTGTGAGTACATGTGTGTATCAAATACCAAGTGGCACAAAAAAGGAAATAAAAATTCGGAGATCTCATCGGCCAAACCTCAAGGCGATCCAACAAGAAATTCAAGTATGAATAAAGTAATATAAATGACTGCAGAAGCCAGGACAGCCCTCCATATGGCAGAAGCCCAGAAGTTCTTATTTTCTTCTCCAATATGGTTCTTCTTGTCGTTAGTATCTACAGCTCAAACAGAAAGAGCCAATATACCGTGCAATTAATTTAATAACTCGTCTCGTTGACTAGTACTTTAATTCTGTTCCAATAATTTGAAGGAAAAAAAAAAATCAGAAGATCTGAGTAATCCGATTCTTTGTAGGAAGCCAGTCTTGTCAACCATACATAAGTGTACAGAAACATGCCCAAACCGTGATCGAGAATTACAATGGAAGAATCATCTCTACCAGCGACGATGATCTTCTCAGGCTTTTTACCAACTGGGTCATTGCTAGATTCGTTGGTTCACATATCTAATGAAGTTGCCTCCATGGAAAAGTTCCCTTTTGTTCAACTCAGGAATGCCTCATCCATGATCAGGAGGGTGAAGCTTCTTTCTTCTCTTTTCGAGGAGATTCATGAAACAGATTCCCACCTTCCTCCTTCTTCAATCCTGTGTTTCACAGAGCTCTTCTCCGTGATCAGAAGAGCGAAGCATTTGATTCAAGACTGCCAGGAAAGCGGCTCTCTCTGGAGTCTTATACAGTTAGAGTTTATTTCCAATCAATTCCATGGGCTTGTAAAGGAGATGGGAAGGGCTCTAGATATCCTTCCTCTGAGACTGCTTAATATCACAGCAGATACAAGAGAGCAAGTGGAACTTCTGCACAAGCAAGCAAAAGCGGTTGAGTCGTTCATTGATCCTCGTGAGCTGCAACGAAGAGATCAGCTTCTGCATGTAATGGCCCATAACAATCTACAGAACAAGAACAAGGGATTCCCTGAGTTTGGGAAAGTGCAACAAATATTAAGCAGCATTGGTTTGAGAACCCCATCAGACTATGACAGAGAAATTTCAAAGCTAGAGGCTGAAGCTCAGAATCAAGCAGGTACAGGAGGCTTAATCGTTATGTCTAACATACATAATCTCATATCTTTAGTTTCGTATTCCAAAGCCATGATATTCAGAGATGGAGTAAACGAAATAGATGAAGAATGTAAGCCAGCAGTGTCCGCATTAACATCTAAGAGCTCTGATAGTTCCTTGTCTTCATCTTCTTCTCAGATGACAGCGTTAGCACCTAATGTTCCTGACGAATTTCGATGCCCAATTTCACTTGATTTAATGAGAGATCCAGTGATTGTATCATCTGGGCATACTTACGATCGAATTTCAATCGCACAGTGGATAAACTCGGGACATCACACTTGCCCAAAAAGTGGGCAAAGATTAATTCACACCGCTCTCATACCCAACTATGCATTGAAGAGTGTTGTGCAGCAATGGTGCTATGAGAATAACGTCCCATTGAATGAGCCGACATCATCTTCTTCCTCGACTTCGGAGGATCCCAACAGCAAGGACAACTCAAGCGAAAATACTGTCGATCATATCGCTGCTAAAAAAGCAGCCATAGATGCTGTCAAAATGACAGCAGAATTTCTGGTAGGAAAGTTGGCAACTGGGTCAGCTGAAGTCCAAAGGCAGGCTGCCTATGAGCTAAGATTACTAGCAAAAACAGGGATGGATAACCGAAGAGTCATCGCCGAGGCAGGGGCAATTCCATTTCTAGTGACATTACTGGGATCCCATGATCCAAGAATCCAGGAGCACGCCGTCACGGCCTTGTTTAATCTCTCCATATTCGACAACAACAAGGTTTTGATTGTGGCTGCCGGAGCACTGGATTACATAGTAGAAGTGCTTGAATCAGGAAAAACTATGGAGGCAAGAGAAAATGCAGCAGCAGCAATCTTTAGCTTGACTATGTTTGATGATTGCAAGGTGGACATCGGAGCTCGTCCAAGGGCCATACCCGCATTAGTAGGACTGTTAAGAGAGGGCACTCCTATTGGGAAAAGAGATGCTGCCACTGCCATTTTCAATCTTGCAGTTTACAATCCCAACAAGGCCAAGATCGTTAATGCTGGGGCTGTTCCTCTGCTTGTTGAGTTGCTTATGGATGATAGGGCTGGGATCACAGATGATTGTTTGGCTGTGCTTGCTTTGCTTCTGGGTTGCTCTGAAGGTTTGGACAAGATAAGGAATAGTAAAGTGTTGGTGCCTCTTCTGATAGATCTTCTGAGGTTTGGGTCACCCAAAGGGAAGGAGAATTCTATAACGCTTCTGCTGGGGTTGTGCAAGGAAGAAGGTGAGGCGGTGGCAAGGAAACTGCTGGCAAATCCTCGAAGCATTCCTTCTCTTCAAAGCTTGGCCGCTGACGGTTCTTTAAGAGCTCGAAGGAAGGCCGTAGCTTTGCTTAGACTGCTCAATAGGTGCTGCTCTCAGCCTCATCATTCTCTTTGAAGCTAATATTTGCATTTCTTATACATGCACAGCTGTATATTTTGTGGAAGTCGTATACATGAAAAAGGCCTTCATTTCTTTTTGCAGTTGCTTCGGCCAATAATTGCCGATTAGGAAATAATCCCATGTGGAGTTTATTATGATAGGAGAAAATGCATTTTTATTGTCTTTAAAGAAACCTGCGTATGACCTTTAATTTTTGATATAAATATGTACAAAGTATTCTGTGAACATCCCAACACAAGAATTATTGCTTTTGAAAATATGATCTTTGAAACTTACTGAAGTAGGCTAACTGCTAAAGGTACTCTATGAAGTAGAGAGTAGAAGCAGAACAAACAAAACGTCCAAAAATAATGGGAAAGGAGGATAATATAAGTGATGCGTTCGTGCGGATATTTTAAGGGTCTCAAGTAAAACATATCATGATAACTACTTGAGAGTCTACTTCTAATAAATATATCTACCTCTCATTGCCCAAACTCCATCTGTTACATAATGTTAGTAACACTAAAGAAGAGATTTTTTTTTTTTGGGGGTGCGCTTTAAAATTACTCTATTATCACATTATAAACGATTGTAAGTGAGGAAAGGTTCAACTTCTGTTCATCCTGTCACTTCCATGTGATGAGCAAATTGGGGTGAGCTCCAATACCAGCCGTGAATCAATCATGCATGATTCACGAAACGTGGTATCTTAATTCTTGTCCCTTCAGCAGTCTATGATTCTACCAATGCCAGCTGGATATGGGTGCCTACTAACTTGTAATCCCAGTGCCAGCTTCCGCTGTCCATCATACTCCGTTCAATAGGATCTAATTGAGTAGCTAAACCTGAATAAAAATCAAAAGGAAGTGAACTCATCACTGTTGCGTGTGCAAAAAGGTGAAGCGAAAGAAAGAGGAGGAGGATTATGATAATTTATTGTAAGATCTATTCTAACCAAAACGTCTTTCCCCAGGCAAAAAAGAAACCAGGATATACTCGAGTTACGAGAACGTTTATGCTCGCACAATTATAAAGACAAGGGTATAGCATTTATTTCTCCACAAAATCAAGTTATGATAGAACAACCATATATCAACTGGACTTGCCATCAAACAAAAGTTTCAAGGTTTAAAATACCTGTACTTCCTGAAGTGATCTTTAGTTTGTAGCCATCTGGAACTTCAAATACATGATTTCCCTATATCAGTAAAGATGAAAGCAAAAGAAGCCTGTTAGTCGTTAGTAATAAACCAAAATGGGGATTTATTTCTTTATATAGGCTATGCAAGTAAAAGAGGGAATATTTGCTTGGTTAAAAAAAAAAAAAGAGAAAAAGAAAAGAAAGAGTGATTCTATCTATTACGGATAAATAATGTCAGCTTGACGGTTGAAGTCCGCAACCTAATAAAAACAATGAAAAGAGGATTCCTTTTGGTATAAACTCGACAAAAAAATTGTTTCTTGATCTAAAGGAAATTTCCTGAACATTTATCAACGGGGATTCCCTGGTATTATCATATTTAATTAGATGTGTGTGTATTTTGAAAGCATGTTTGAAGTATTATACCAGCATCCAAGATCCTTTCAGCGCAAAAGATCTCAACAAGAAGTATCTCATGACTTTTTGATTATTACAAGGGAAGCATAACACACACACACACACTTCCACTAGCACTCTTGCAGGATCGAACATGCTTGCTCGCCTCACTAGGGAGGACAACATGCCAGTTGATCCATTGATCACTCTCTCGACTTTTAGGGGGATAATCTCATATTTCTATATTAAATGCTTTGACAACTTTCCAAATACATCAATTTTAAATATTTTTAATTTTAATAATGTGACAAACATGGAGATATTGAATATTCATATGGCGTACACATCCCCATCTATTATGATGACTTCCCCTACTAGCCGGGGCTACCATGCAAAGAATAGACCTTTAAATTATGAGGATTTGAACTTTAGACCTCTACCCACACCCCACCCAACAAGACCACCAGAGCTAGTGATATTGGTCCAGTCTGATTCTAGTAACATTAGACAATACCATTCATATCCCCATCTCAAATCAAATAGCCAATCTGTGCTGAATCTATAGGCATATTTCTTTCAAAAGAAAATGGTGTGGGGATATTTTAGGTTAAAACCCATTGGGCAGGTGATTTGTGAGTCTTGCAGTGAGTGTATGTGAGATCGAGGAAATTGGGGGGTTGGGGGGCGGTGTTTAAAATAAACCTGTAATATAACATCTGTGGCTTCAAATTCAGCATTTCCGTGCAGTATTATCTTCAATGCCTCAGACCGCTGCACATCATGTTTCCAGTAGACATTACCTCCATGCGTCCAATCAATTCCTTTGTTCAACACCTTGACATTCTGTAGTTTACACCTTCCACATCTAGCAGGATAAATGGGCGCATCAATTCTATGCTTGCTATTTGAAATTATTTTGATCCCTAAAGCTTGGGTCAAGGAGCAGGGAAGTGGTGCAGAACCAGAGTAATAATGATACAGGCAACACAGTACCTCTGCCCATAATGTAGTATGGAATCACCACTCTCATTAACCTTCATTGAGCCAATAACATTTTCAGCCATTATGTTCATGCTTCCATCAAGCTGAATTAAAAAGGGGTAAATATCAGCCTACCACTTTATCAACACCAAGACAAAAATAATAATAATAATAATAACAATTTACTTTAGAAGAAAGAACCTGAACATTCCTCCACAAGAACTCTGCAACCTCTATTTGTAACTCAGAGCCCTCAGATATGGAACCACCATAAAACTGCTCATTATAAAGAACAAGATAAATGGAATTTGTTTATTTAAAGATGATAAACAGAAACCACTTTCATAACGCTTAAACAGTCATGTATTAAGCAAAAAGATATACCATATCTTAAACAGTCATTGACGAATGACAAGTGACATCTAAAGAACATAATATAGTTTTTACCTTTTGTCTGGTGACCTCCCAAAGAGGACCAAGAGCTGGGTGCAAAAAAATAAGAAATGGCGGCCCTGAATCAGCATACTTCTCGTTAGCTTCAATCTGCAGCACAGAAGAAAAATGATATAAAAAATCAATGTAGTTCTACAAAGGGGGAATAACCACCTGTTGATAGCTTAAATGCATGATCAGTTGAATTCAAGGCAACCAAAAAAAAAAAAACACTAAAATAGCAATAGCAAAAAACAACATGCATTGCTAGCCATCCAAACTAAACAGAACCAATTTTCACATTAAACACAGAATATCAAGATATATACCTCAGGAAGCTTTATATCACATTGGGAAAGTAGATCACAGGCATTTCGTAGGATATCTATAAGTGAGCCATCAGGAGTCTGCATTTAAATGCAATACATTTTAGATGATAAAGAGAAACTATGATTGACTAGTCTGATGTATAATAAATTACATAATTTTAACATTTTTCTTATAGTCCAAATTGCGAGGAATTTTTCTAACTTCAATTCTTTTCTCAAGAACATCGCAAAAGAATTCTCTTTATCTGTTCATGGCACTAAAACTTGTATTATTAATGATTTAAAATAAACTTTCACCCATAATGATTTTAATTTTAATAATATTTTCCCTAAGAAATAGAATTTTGAACTTCAGTTCTGTTGGGAGCTCGGATCAACATGATTTATGCTTACAGACAGAAATGCAAAGTCCTTCCTAGCCATGATAAATTAGGGAAACATGAAAAATAATCAGAAAATTCAAACCTGGTGTAAAGATTTGTCCCCATTTTTTCTTTTCTTTTTAGCAGACGATGTGACCCTTCTTCGTTCATTATATACAATAAATGTGTCAAGCTCATCTGCACAAAAAAATAAAAAATAAAAATTATATCAAGAAGTTGTTATTTTCAAGTTGAGTTGAACACGATAAAAGAGAACAAGACATGATTCATCATTTGTCAAACTCAAATGGGAAAAAGGTAATATATACCTTCCACACCATTATAACACCTTGACGAATAGGTATTGTAATAATTGTCTGCTATATTTTGCATTGTACACTCTAGTCTGCCACCAGACACGCTAGTACATGACAATTAAAGCAGATCAATACATAGTATATGCCCTGCAGTAATCAGCAACATATGCAGAGTGCCAGCATTCATCTATAGGAAAAATTAGACTTTAAAAAGTACGCGAGTTAAAAGAATTTTGACTGATTTTTCTACCCTCACCAACAGCAACACTTGAACTCAGGAATGAACAGATGGCAGAAGGATCTTAGGATTAATTTATCTTATAAAATGGACAGCTCATCAATGCACGTTGACATTGTCATTTATTCAGGCCAACTTGGCTTTAAACTTTGTGAAGGCTCAGTGCTTGGTCTTAGGTTCAAGGCTGTTGACCCAGAATAAGGCCTTGTTCTAATCCTACAAAATAGGGTCAAGTATACCCAGTGGCCACAAGCAGCTCTAAAGGAATCATAACCCACACAAAAGGATAGTTGTAGGCCAGAAACGTGCTCATGTGCAGGTGAACTATTGTGTCTAAAAGGGTGCACTAGTTAAATGATTTCAGAGAAAACATTGATGCATTAGTTATATGTCAATTTGACCAACTTTATAAAGATATATTGAAAAACAAAGTCAAGTTTGAGGTAAAACATACCTGTGCTGTCTTCCAAAATGGTCCACATATGCTATTTTCTTTTTCGTATTGAGCACCATTCCAGGCAAACTATGTTCATTATTACTTGACACAACTTGCTCAGCAGAAGGTAAATGCACATATAAAATGTTTGTATTGGCTGGGAAATCCGCCTGCAAGCTTAAACACAGCAAACAAAATTGTTAATTGGGTTGTAAAATCTGATTAAGAAAGGTACATGGTGGGTAAAAAATGTCTGAAAGAATATAGTCCCAGCTTGACTAGTCGTATTTCTTCAACAATTTCACCAGTTGAAGCATAGCCTCTTTTGTGTATAGGCTATGCAAATTGGTAAACTTTCTATCCATGATGATGTCCTTAAAGTACAAGCGCAAACAATTTGGTCTGTCTCTATTTCTACCATAAAGAGATTGTAATAAGCACCTTCTGTGTATGGCATTGCATTGCAACTGTAGGATTTAGTCAAAATATAAGTTAACATGAGTGAAATAAACAAATCAAACTCTTGGTTGATCCCACCCAAAAAGAAAAAACTCACAAACATAATGATCATAACAATGAGCAGACTTCATGCAAACAATATATTTCACGTGTGGCAAAGAATTAACAGCAGAACTGCTATTGTGGGTGCTTTCCAGACTCTTGAATTTCTCCCAAACTTCGTGTGTGTGTGTGTGTTCATAAGTCGTGCACCACAACTATGTGGTCAGGTAGCAATAGTAGAAGAACAACTAACTTTCCTCCATTTACATCAAGCATAACAAAAATTCAGAATTTTATGTGAACTTGCAACAATAATCTCCTGGGTTTGCCTGATTAATGGAAAATTGTGTACCTTCTAGGATGATGGGGTCCATCAGCAATTCCAAACTTGTCAAATTCAGTGTATTCAACGCAAGACACACCATAATCCCAATTCCCATCAAGGTTTTTCTTCTCCATCAGCACGTTAATTCCTTCTGTAGCACCTGGGTTCCGCTTACATGATGCAAACCCCAGTCTCTGTAAAATTGTCTCAGTCAAAAAGCATTGGAAATCTTATTGAAATTCTTTCAGACTGACATTAGATGCAATATAAGTCTTCTTCTTTCTTCTTATATGTTTTTATGCTTGCAGATGAGTAATCAACTATTGCACAATTATAAATGAGTCACAGACTGCTCTGACACTTTGACTATGGGATCGCTATATTATAATCCAAAAGACTCCATGTCTTAGTCCATTTCATATATTTATGCTTTGCAGAAATACTAATTATGCATGATTAAAAAGGCAAATGTCAGTCAATTGCATGCTCCAAGAGAAGTTTTAGAATGGATAAAGCATGGGTGCCAATATCTTTCCACAGGACATAAGCTTCTAAAGTAGCAATCTACTTAAAAAAATTGTCATTGCAGCTGATTTGGATGCATATGAAAAAAAATCTATTGATCAACCAATAGCAATTTCTCAATTTTGTTATTTTCTTCATATAAGGTTAAAGATCCTTCAATACTAAAACCATATATACATGCAACAACAACAACAAACCTTATCCCATTAGGTGGGGTCGGTTACATATAGTGGCGGAGCCAAATGTAATTGAGGGGGCATCTTTGGAAAAAATGACATGTTTGGGAGTATAAGTTTTTATATTTTATAATTTGCACCTTTTACTTACTATACTTTGTACCCCCTTATTTTTATATTGTAAACTTTAAACCCATTTTAATCTCATTTTTTTTAGCCCAGATCTATTCAAATTTTTAACTTAGCCTTATGAATATTAGCCCACAATTTCACTATACCTAAATACCAATATTATTTATTAATTTTTTAAAAATAGAAAAAAAAATCTAATATGACTAAATGGACTCGCTCCTCGTCCTGAATACTACTCAGGGACTAGTTAGAAAAAAAGCCAATGATAAATAATGAATATTCAAAACTCAAAGAGTAAATTGGGTGAATGTTTTTCGCTAGCTTGCTACACTTACGAATCTACAATTGAAAGTTGGATAGAGAACAAAGAAAAAAGAAAAGAGAAATAGTTGATTTGGAAGAGATAATAATGTCTTCCTTTTACCGAGGATCCTAGCTCCGTCATTGCCCCCCCACCTAGGATCTTGGCTCCGCTAGTGGTTACATGGATTGCATGATGCCATTGTACTCTATTATCAACCAAGATTTTAGGAAGATTGTTAACTAGGAGGTAAAACTATATATATATATATATATATAGATCTCAATAAAAAAAGGACTAATGAAGGAGAAGCAAAATAATAAGGCATTGATTAAGACCTAAACAAGCATGGGAAACACACCCTTAAAAACCAGCTTTTAAGGGAGAAGAAATGAATAATCAAGCTAGTTAAGTACCACAGAAATTACTTATGGCTACCCAGTGTGGGACGCCAGCATAAAACCACCCCCACAGAGTTGGTATCCATGAAGGCTGCATTCTGTGGCACTCATTCCGACCACTGTGTTGCACCCTCTGCAAGTAGCCCATATAATCAAGGATGGAAATCTAAGCAACCATAGAGAACCTATCATTCTGAACTGGCTTATAAGGGAAAAGAGCCACGCCACAAAAATACCACAAAAATTACTTGTAAGCTGTGGCTATCCAATGTGGGATTCCATTAAGTGCATAAATCTTTGGCATACATGGATGTTGAGATAAACGTTTGCTTATATAAAAAAAGATAAGATCCATAATGATTGTAGAAGAGAACAAGTTGGCATGGCATCTATTGAGGAGAAAATGGTAGAAAATCATTTAAAATAGTTCAATGCAAAGAAAGGCGATGGTGGGACCAAATGGTATTTACCCCATAAAAAGATGTAGATGGACACCAAGAAAGATGCTCAAGGAACTTATCAATTGGGATCTATTGGTAAATGGTATGTCAAAAGAGTTAATTGTGAATAGAGCCTAATCGCATCATGCAATCCATGTTGCCATTTAGTGTGATAAGACTGCTTCTTCTTGTTGTTATTGTAGTAGTATTACTTTCATAAATTACCCAAAAAATATCATGTCTTGATTCACCCTTTTTTCATGAAAAGAATTTTTATAAGCCACAATGGGAAGGTAGTGTGATCAAGGATGATCAGATAAGATGCCCTCTTATTATAATGTTCACTTAGTTCCTGTCATCATATTGACACAGAAGAATGACATGATATCTTCAAAACAAATTTTACCTTCCCTAGCTGCAAGCCAATCCCTGCTAAGGCCAAGAGAGTTAAATCTGTGGCCGCCACAACATTACTGCAAGGCCACAAGTATCAGACATGTCACAAGACAAGCACTCCACATTTCCTGGGGGGAAAATGAAAGAACTCAAGAAACAGGATTTCTGATATAAAGGCAGACCTGACTTGTCGCACAGTTGCACCTTTTCTTCCATATAGATAAAACCATTTGAAGACACCTTTATCATAAGCAAGTTTCCAGATGACACCATGACCACCGGGCTTGCTCAAAGGCCTGAACGGTTTGGTGAGCAGCCACTGCCCATCTTCCGCACCCACAACAGGAACAAGAGGCTGGCAATTCACAAGATCAACAATAAGAGACCACTTCTCAAAATAAGAAAATTTCTTTTGAATGATGTATTATTTAAATTTTAGCATAGTTCAATATGCAACCTGTTGAAAAAGTTGAAAAGTTGAACGACCTCTTCCAAACCAAGAAAGACTTTCACAAAGAGACATGATGTGCCCATGGTTGTTCTTTGCTGAACTTGTCATTATTGCAACAGGAGTGATACATTGTTTCCCATATAACTTGAAGTACAAGAATTCCGAGCCTTATAATTTAAAGAGAAATTAGATTGGCTCAGCATCCATAATAAACCAATAATGCTTGTCTTGTTTATATTGTCTAGCTAATACAAGTATGATCCTATATTCAGCAATTGGAGAGCTAATACCTGAAGATCTCTAATAAGACCTTCCAACAAAGTCCTTCCACAATATGGTAGCATTGCGGCTGGAAGACATTCACCGGTATCAGGATCAACTAAACCAAGCCTATCTGCAGAGCCTCCCAAAGGATAAATTTCTCCTAGGCACGGCAAACCCTAGGAAATTAACATCTCATTATGTAAGGTATCCGTACAACAGACACAGCTAAATGCAAAATGTGAATCAGGTAGTATGACACTAACCTCTATGCCCCATATAGCTGCTTGAGATGCATATTCTGTATTTTCAGAAAGGTCAATTCCTTTAGGTGCATGAATTTCCAAAAATTGGCATTCTTCTGTTTCATTAATGTGCCGAGACCAGTCTAAATTCTGCTTCTCACACATTTTTTGGACAAGAAGCTCCAGCACCTTTATTTGATATCTGCAGCATGTAATTTGAATTACAAAGATGTGATAACTAAATTGATTCCTTACCCACATCCAATCCCAGGAATGTAATTTATAGAAGTCTAGCATTGTTAAGAAGTGTGATAATATCAATCGTGAAGTGACCTTGATGAAACGTTACTATGGTTATGGATAATATAAATCTCTTGTTCTCGCGGGAAAGTCCTGTATGGTTACTGTAAGGGCAACTATTCTTTGAGAGAGAAACCCACTAGATGCACAAACTTTCCAAATTAGGCGTCACCGCATCAGACATGCATATATGCAATTGCGAGCTTTCAAATGGCACAATTTGAAATGATTAATTAAATAAAATAACGAAAGATGGAAGTGCAGAATTCACCCAATAATTCCCCCAATGCATTGATAGAAACGCTCAATTTCTCCAAGAGACTCCAATAACTTCTTCAAGTCACGAATTTCTTCATCGTCCAAAGCCAGGTGCATCTTTCCAAAGCCCGCACCGCCATTATCATTATAGACATCCAGGTTTTCGATCATCTCCGCCAAAGCATAAAGTGCGCTCTTAACCGAGTTTGTAGTTGACTCCTTTACAGTTTCACCTAGCTGAAATCCCAGACTAAGCACGTGCTCTTGACCGGCCGCAACTAAACATTTAAGCAAGAACAAGTCATTGGAGCTCAAATTGAGGGATGTTAAGACCCTAGAAATGCCAGCGTTTTGGTGGGAACGAAAAAATAGCTTCACTCTAGAATCACGATCGATCACTCTAAGCTTTCCCTTCAAATTGCTACAGCTGGAAAGTTTCGAGCGGAGAGCTTGTAGCCTGGCGATTTCATGATTGAAGTTGGAATCCGGAGCCGGCGGCAATAGCTGCTCTGCCTCGGTTGGGACGCGGGCCACGCGGCAACACGACAAAGGCGATGACGATGATAACGGAGACAATCCAGAAGGAGAGGAGGAGGACGGTAGAGATAGAGAGAAGGGAGAATTGATGAATAGAGAGCCAGCATGATTATGAAAAGATTTAGAAAAGAAAGAGGAAGAAAAGCGGTTGGTACTGTGAATAAAAGAAGTTGAGTGAACCATAATTTGCTGAAACAGAGAAAGCGAAACAGATGTTGGACTTGGAACTTGAATGGAGGTTCTGACTGGAAATGCAATGACAAAAAACAAAGACAAAAAAAAAAAGGAGAGAGAGAGATAGAAAGAAGGGACGGAGAAGGAGAAGGAGGCTGGGAATCAGCAGAAGATGCTGGCGGCATATACCAAAGGCTTTGTTTACGAGGCACGGCGAAAGAGAGGGAAGAGATGGTGCCTAACCGTCGCGTCAGTGTGTCACAAGAAAATGTCGAGGGAGGGGAAAAAGAAAAAAAACAAAAAAAAAAAGGTAGTTGTCACTGTTTGACAAGATTATCCTGTTTCCCCTTCGGGCCAGGAGATTGGTGGCTTGAATTCCCCTCTTCCATGCCGGAGGAGTGTGGTTCCCCTTGTGGAATGTAGCAAAACTTGTTCCAGTGATTTTTTTTAAAAAAAATTATACCTTATCCTTTTATTTTAGATATTACGTAAATTTTTGAAAAAAATTAAAACGTTTTAGTTCCTTCATTTTCTCCATCAATAAATCATTTTTTTAAAATTATTTTATGAATTTTCATGATGTTTGTTTAGCTTTTTAAAAATAATCTGAATTGGGGAAAAGGAAATTTTTTATTATTTTAAGAAGTTATTTTAAGTGGCTCTTAAAAATTTTATGATGCAGCTGATGACAAAGAATGTCATAAAAATTGCGGGGATGTGCACAAATATCATAAAAAGTTGAATAATAAATTATTTTTATAAAATAGAAATTCATAAAAATATGATAGAATTTAAAAAATAACTAACTAATAATTACTTTTTTATTATTATATCTAAACATAAAAAATGTTTTTGTTTCATAAAATCTCTTCAAAATAAATCTGGTTTAATAGAATCTCTAAATTATTTAAAAAAAATTATTTATTAATCTTAAACAAATGGGCTGAGTTTGAAACCATATTTTAAAGACTGAATTAATAAATGAAAAAAAGTTTAGGAACATAAATTGTATTTTTTTAACTTTTTAATGAATATGTACTTTTTTCAAAAATTAAAGTTTTTTAATTGTCTCTCTTATCACACTAAAAATAGAAATATGAAGTTGATCTTAATTGCTTTTTTTTTAATATTATCAGGTCTCTAGTGCAATTTTCAAATATTTTTTAAAATTATTTTATTTTCCCTAACCTGGACTAGAACTTCACATTCTTGACCCAGCCTGAATGGCTTCCTGAATAGATTGAAGTCAAAGCAGCCCTCTTTGAAAAGATTCATATGTGTGCGCGACTAAAAGAAGCAGCATGTCATAATAGGCAATCTATACAAAATACCAGCTAGATTCTGCAATTGGCTTGCATGAAACTCAAACGTATTATCACAGGTGCTTGGATCAAATGGATAAAGGTTAATTCAATTTAATTAGACATCTTGAGTTCAAGTCTTGTTACCAATTGGAATCTAGATCAAAGACCTGCAGCACCTAAGTGAAAGCAAAGAAAAATCAAATGTCTTTAATCTCTTTTTTTTCTTCTGTTGGGTTATCAACGCTTTCTTTTGGTAAACAAAGGGGGCCAGAACCCAAAACTAAAAAGCACGATGCAGAAACTCGCCAGATTCTGGTGTCACGATACCTTGCTTGTTAGTTAGGCATGATGCCACGATGATGTTGTAATTATTGCAAATATATCAAAAGAAGAAGTTTCATATTATCCACATGAAAAAAACTCTTAATGTATATATATGCTAAAAAATAAAAATGAGCTAATAAATGAATTTGGAGGAGAGGTGGGATTATGCGCCCCTTGCATGTGAGTTGAAGAGACACTAGTCTTTTTATCAAATTTGTTTTGCAAAATTATTAAATTAATTTTGTCTCCCTATCTTTCCGTTAAAATCATAATTTTTGTGTTTAAATTGTAAGCATTTAATTAGGTTAATGGTTTTAAACAACATTTAATTGCCATGACCTTCTCAACTTTCAAAAAACGTTCAAATAAATCACTTTTATGTGCTATTATGCTCTTTAAAACTAATGTCTAATTACTTTGCCAAAGTCTTTCATGTGCTGTGCTTATATATAGCTTGAGAATGCAATGTTTCTGGTACTAAGCTCTTCAATTCTCAAGCTTTTTCTCTATATTGTGTTGCTGAGTATATTTGCTAATCTTTGTTGTTCTATGGCCTTACTTATTTGGCAAGAAGAGTCTGTTTAATCCTGAGAAGCTGCTGTGCGATCAACCTTGTATGGCGGAATAGCTCTTAAGGATAGTGTCCTTAGCAAGATTCAGACTTCAAATCCACCTGCTAATTTCAACAAATGACACCTACCTTAATTTAGCACATTTAATAAGGATGTCATGCTTAGAATAATTTTAAAATCAAAACATGTCCTCTAAAGAAAGGGTTATGGTGCAAAAATATCCACCAAGTGGTTAGTCAAGAGCATTAAATAGTCTAAAGTAAAAAAAAAAAGGGGCAAAAATATCTCTAGCATTATCAAAGTTGTTACAAAAGTAATCAAATTATTGACTTTGCCCTCACGTCGTTAGTTTCCTGATGTTAAATGTTGACAGTGCTTTCTCGATGAAGTATCCCACCAAATCTCCTTTTTTTCGTTAACGTATCCCACCCTCTCCATGTATTTTTCTTGTTTGTAAACTTGAAATTCAGTACACTGAGACATGTTGTACACAATCGAAGATTAAAACTAAGCACACTTCCTATGTTGTTTACCTTAAGAATATTATCACAACATTAAGCAATTTCATTCGTAATATGTTTGAAATTCTCAAATGATTTTCATTATTGCTATAAAGAAGCAAGCGATTTAACTTGATATTCAATCAAAATGACATTTTCTCAAATGATATTCATACAATAACCAATCAACCTTCATAGAATTTTACTTTGGAATATTTTTTATCAACATCAACAAAAAAAATGATCAAGTTTTGCTTAGGTGAGTTAAACAATCAACATTTAAAAGATTTAATGGATTGATCACTTTTGCACCAACTTTAATAATTTTATGATTATTTTTACCCTTTTTTCACACTTTAAGCTACTGAATGCTTCCGGCTGACGATTTTATGAGTATTTTTGCCCCATGTTTAGTCTACATTGGTAAAGACTGACACATGCCAAACATAATTAGCATTCAACATTTGATCACTTTTGTACCAACTGTAATAATGTTATGAGTATTTTTATTTTTTTTTCTTACTTTAGGTCACTGGATACTCTTAGCCAACCACTTGATTGGTATTTTTGCACATTAACCCTTTAAAAAATTTGCCCTTGTATGTTAAGAAATTGTTATTAAGGGTCATTTAAGGAATTATAATACTAAAAGTGATTAAATTCATGTTTTTTTTTTAAATTTTAAAGGTATTGTTGAAATGTTATAAAATTAAAAGATATAATAACTATCACTTAGCATTTAGAAAAGTTGATTCAAGAAAACTTTATATAATAAAAGGATACTATTCTTCATAGAAAAGTTTTTTTTTTATACTAAGGGAAAAAAAAAACTACACAATAGTAAAAGCGTCTTACAAGCATTAAGTTATAAGAATGAAAATTCAAATGATGAAACCTAACTATGTATGATAAGGCCTTCTTTGTAAGGACATCTGCTGCTTTATTAGCATCTTTAGAGATCTTTTGAACATATACTTCCCAAACATGATTCGATAGGTTTGTATCTCATAAGCGACACTAGAATTTGGTTGGTGAGAGAGATTATTCCATTTATGAAACAAAATAGGATTATAAATTTTTAATTAAAAAGTTATGGTAGTTTATCAAAGTTATAATAGTTTATGAAACAATACAGGATTATAAATTTTTAATTAAAAAGTCATATTATTTGAAAGGCATCATTTTATTGTCTATAAAAATTTTCCATTATTACATAGAACTCATTTTTATAATTTTCAAATTCATTTTTATCTGAGTGTACGAAAAATAAAGTCAAAACATCATTTTGTAAAAATAATTATCTTGAAAGTACAAGCTATATTCAAAGATCTCATTATAATTTTTTTTTTTTTGGGAAGACATACTTCCCCCATTTAGAATTATAAAGCATTTTTTAAGCTTTTTATTGAAAAATATAAAACATTTTGAAATTTGAAGTCTATCAGATGGATTCAGTACATTTATATTTTTGTAAAAATGGCTTTAAGTCAGGGGATGTATTTGATAAAATTGTCTGATTGAAGTACCCCCTCTTGTATCCAAAAAAAAAAACGAAAAAACAATGTTCGTGAATCTCTCAAATTCAATGAAACCCGAAAGCAAGCTGTGACAAATCAATGTTCGTGAATTTCTCTAGTACAACGAATCCCCGATGCAATTTGTTCCAGACGGCGGAAAACAAACTAACATGCTTACACTGCAAAACCGGAATCCTGGAAATCGTATCGAATTCGTTATGAATTGATGGCATTTCCTTATTTCCTTTTAAATTTAAACATTAGAAAACAAAATAAAAATACGGTACTTTGCGGCCCATGGATCCAGACAGCCAAGAAGTTCTTTTTTTTTTTTTTTTGGGATACAATAGCCAAGAAGTTTATTCTTTGGAAAGAGGGAGAAATCACAGTTGCCTAAAAATGGTTGTCGGTTTCCAATTTCTGCATCGTGTAAGAACTAAATTAAGCCTCCCGCCTCTATGAAGGAGCTGAGAAGCTGAATCTAAATCCAGTCTTCGCACGATCGTGCTCATGCTGCCTGAGTATGTAATAGAAGTTACCCTGAAACAACAAGAAGCTTGTCGGTGGAGGAATGAAATGCTAGAAAGTTCAGATTTACAAAAAGCACCAAATTAGGCGTTGGTGGAGAGGAGAAAAGATTGACTTCTTAAGAGAAAAGTTTGGTTAGAGGGGGGAGGGAAATTTTTTTGATGAATTTTCATTCCCCTTGCCTGGTTGGCTGGAAAAATGGAGGGTAAGTACCTCCCCTACCCTAATTTGGTTAGAACAAAATAAAGGGGAAGGGAGGGAAAACTTCAATTCCCTCACCTCCCTTCATTAAAATTCATCTCCTCCACTCCACTCCATTGAACCAAACGCTGTGTTATTAGTCTTACAGATTGTTGTTTCCCCCAATTACATTACTACTTTCATTCAAAGAAAGTACTAAGCTTTTGGTTAGTTTAACCTGCTACTTATCTAATTATAAAGAAAGTAAAACAGGAGCTGACCTCTAGGCGGAAAAGTGAAGTAGGAACAACAATTCCACATCCGACTGAAGATCGAAATGATTCCAAG